GGGGGGTTATTCTTAATACTAAGGCTTTCTCCTTCGGCAAGGCATTGGAGATATATGATGCAGAGGCTAGGGCTGCTCTCCATAGACTAGAACTAGCTTCAAACTCCCTGTACTGGCCTTCGGCTAGGAAGTGCTGGATTTGCCTCGACAACCTTGAGGCTGCGNGGTTATTCTTAATACTAAGGCTTTCTCCTTCGGCAAGGCATTGGAGATATATGATGCAGAGGCTAGGGCTGCTCTCCATGGACTAGAACTAGCTTCAAACTCCCTGTACTGGCCTTCGGCTAGGAAGTGCTGGATTTGCCTCGACAACCTTGAGGCTGCGCTTCAACTAACATACCGGTCTTGTGGCACATCGCAAGGGATCTTTAATACAGTCCATGAGTTAGCGTCATACCCTGGGAAAATACAGACTAGGTGGTGCCCTAGTCACATAGGTATCCTAGGCAATGAAATCGCGGACAGAGCTGCTGGGAAAGCAGCGCGGATATACTTTAAGACTAGATTCTTCACTAAGATTTGTCTACCTAGATAGGCTGGCCTACTTTTCTTTCTTTCTTTGATTTATGTATTTGTTGTGCTGGGTCTACTTTTTCTTTTGCTCCACTTCCTGATTTGATCCACTTATAGCTCTGCTGCCTAAATGCTTCATGTCTGCCTAAACCTTACACTCTTTATATAAACACCTTAGATAGCTACCTTTTACAATGCAATCAATTCTCCATGACCTTCAGTACCCAATACCCTTTCAACCCAATAGTATTTCATTTGTTGTACCCTGGTTCTCAAAACTAATTAAGGATAAGGGCTGTCCCGAAAGTGGGGCTTCTCTTTAAACTGTTTCTTGTAAATTAGCGTCTCTTCTTTTACACCCCCTGTAACCTAGGGCACCCCCCTAGCGTCATTTGCCCATATTGGGACTCTTCTAGGACCTAGCCCACGCGAGCTAGACTCCGCTTGACGTTAAATAGCAATAAAATAAAATAAATAAAATATATCACCGAGTCGTTGGCTGAATACAGCTGACAAATGCTGAGCGCGGGAGAGATAATCGTTCAATCCTTCTTCTTCAACAAGACTTAATAGATTCAAAGCCTTTGTTGATTGTTTCTTTCTGATCTCAAGTTTTTTGCTTGGGGCGGTGTTGACTTTCATTTCCAGAGTCTCAAGAAGATCTGCAATTTTGGTTCGTCGTTTGTCTCCGTGACTGGATTGACAAGCTGAGCAGTCGCAAGTGAAACCATACTGAGCGAGTCTTGATTGTCGATCCGCAGTCTTTTTGATAAGTGGGATGTAGGAAACGGTGATCTCTTTTCCTTCCTTGATATCCCTTGACGCGTAGATAATTCGATGGCCTGCCTCGTCGACCCATTCATTCCCGGAGTTGGGTGTACATGAATGATTTATCCTGGCGATTTTGGGGAACAAACCGACCTTGCTATCACAGGTATTGTATGCATTGCTTCGGAATATCGTGAGAAGTTTGTTTTGATCTTCCTCGGAAGGGAATCGGACATCGTGCAAGTCTGTAAAAGATTTCTGGCTTATTGGAGACAGATTGGAATATGCCGTTTCGAGGCTCGTGATCATATCCAGTATCTTGAATCCCTGGCCTTGAACCATTTCTGGTAAGGGAACTGCGACAAGAGGTTCCTCGATGATTATCACCGTGCCTCTCTTGAGATCGTGCTTTGCAAATACCCCCAAACCTTTGTTCTTTGATGGTTTGACATCATAAACTGTGTACAGATCTATAGAAAGTCAGTCAATATACGATACCTGAGAGTGTGGACTGTAAATATAAAAAACCTAAGAAAATTGCCTACCATCAAGATCTATTTCATTTGTATCATTCCCGAGTAATGCAGTTTGAGTACCCAGATGTTCCAGATCCAACGATTCACGAGAGGAGCAAACGTTGAATGAGCTATGGACACGACAAGCAGTTGCGGAAAGTTGCAGAATCGAACTTAAACACCAGAGAATGGTACCTCGCACCCAGATGGTCGGAACCCTTGTATTTGCCGCCATGTCGTGATGCTAGATTCATAAACTTTTTGACAGATCAGATTTGAACAGATCAAATTGAGGAGGACACAGTGTATATCTCAAATGTATTTTTGGTCTCAGCACTTCACTCCTGGGATCTCTAAACAGGGGCTGCAGATAAAACCTATTGGATCTTGGGGGCGAAGGACCAACCCTGGAGGACTGCCCAGCATTGCAGCAGCAACTAAAACGAAAGCTCGATTTGACGTGGAAAAGCTATTCGGGTGTTTGAGAGACAACAATGCGGCAAAGAAGACTTTTGAATACAATTTAGATGTCCACACAGAACCTGGAAAGTTTCCTCCAGTATGCGTAGAGGCACGACGATGGCGAGTTGAACCGACAGGGGTACAAGTAGACGTGATGAAACAGAACATGCCGCATGCCCTGAAGATGAATCAACGACGAGACAACATAATAAAACCCACGAGTGACGAAAAAGAACGACTTACGAATCTGATGTCAAAGACAAAATGTTATGAGAGAACCGATTAGTGGTATCCAAGAAACAGAGCCGCAAGCTCTCGTGTTCCTAGTGGGAGGTTGCTAGTTCTAATCTGCGAGTAACCAAGAGCCATTGGGGTAGTCTTTTCAATCTAGCTATCAGAGGGACAATGAATTCTTCCGGAAAGTTAGGATGATGAGTTGCTGTCTTTCTTTCCTATCGAAGGGCTTCTTTCGCGAAAGTTCAGCTGTGAGATGCTGAAATGCTGAGTTCTGATTAAAGGGTATGTATTAGTGGGATGCAGCAGCAGAATAGAGGGTTTTTCGACTGTCAAGGTATCAAGTTCTGGACATATATTTGACGGAATCAAAGATATCAAATTTATACCTACGAACTGAACTGAACTGAACTGAACGATGGTCTCAATTTTATATCACTTAACTCCGAAACCCACAGGTGCTATCCCGATCACCTTGAAAGCAAAGACCACCTCGGCTCTCCCACCGGGATTCCTCAACGTCAGTCGGTTCTTCCCTAGACACCAGAAACAATGTAATACTCAATTTCTCTCATTACACTCTTATAACTACATATATCTTCTGAAAATGATCTCTCAGCTTAGCAGCTTCAATGTGTCCCTCGTGGGCCGGTCTCCACTTTTCTCTCAAGCGTGCCTCCTGCCGCCCGTCTCCGTTTGCACCGAAATAGGAATGGCCATTAAAAGTGGCAGGAGAAAATTCTCCAATATACTCCAATGTACTCCTTATTGTACCCTTTCAGGTTTTCTTGACTGTCTAAACTAAATCTTTGGTGGCAGTTGTATTAATTGCTCCAGATCAGAACATCTGAGCAACCTACAGTATCGGAAGTAGTCTAACAAACCAAAGGACAATGAAGTGCTTTTATTTTCATTTTTGATGTCCCTTGCAAATATGTCCTCTAAACTGTCATCGAGTACCGGGATATCTGCATCTAGCCATTGTGGTTTTCACGTTTTCCCTGTTCTCAAAGAAAACCAAGTGTTCAGCCGTCAGATCGATGCCGAGAAGTCAACAACAACACTACCAGAGGTGCTACATATGATAGTGCTATCGGTCCTGATTAGCAAGTCACTTGGAGATTCTTGTCGGTTGGCCATAATCGAAGGAACGCTGCAGAAGCCGATACGGCCAAGAAAAAGAAAAAGAGCGAAAGAAAAGAAACTCCAATTGTGATGTGCTGCGAGCGTGCGAAAGCGTCGTTGACACTCTCATGTACCACTTGTTTTTTCAGGCTGGAACGACGGGATGCATATCAATTAGGGAGTGTGACGCGTCGTCGTCTCTTGCTGCTGCTAACCGCCGCCAACTCTGGTTGGCTCGTGCGTCGCCGTTTGCCTTGAAGAGAGCCTCGAGACGACTTCGACACTCTTCAACTTCACCACCACCACCTCAACAGTCTTTTTTCAATTCAGCGCGATACAGTGTATGTAACTGCTGTGAAGGGCACCATCTTTGTTCTGAAGGCGGCTGTAAAGTTTAGTGCTTCGCAGAGTCCACGCACCGCGTTGAAAGTCACCACGAGGGGCGCTATTTCTCCCAAACTTCACTTTTGCATCACAACATCAACATAGATCGATCGAGTCGCACAGATTTTGCAAAGCCCTCTTGGGCATCATGGCAACACCTAGGACGTCGTTGTTGGAGTCAATCTTCCATCATGTCACACTACCTCCCAAGCTCCCTGACCGGCAAGAAGGCGGACTTGATACCATCCAAAATTTGCTCACTGAGCGCCTTTTGAATGCTACGATTGCCCTCAGAGATGAGACATATGAGCGATATGGCCCTGGGCTGGATGATGTTCGCCGCGTTATCTTGACTTCCAAGATAGTAAATGCAGGCGGGAAGTTAGATCCAGCGACTCTCGTGGAAGCCTTCCGCGAACTTCAGGGGAACGGCCTTATTATCATTCATGTCTCTGAGCAGAATGCTGCTCTCCTTGTACGAAGGGTTATAGAGTGAGTTACTTCACCTATTTCAGATGCGTATCGTATTTGAACTAACTTCGACTTCACGCAGTGCCAATGGAGTTGCTATTCTCTTTGAATCCTTCGAGGCATCACCGTTATCTGAAGATGCTTTGGCCAGTAAGAATGCTCTTGTGTGGAACTTCCCGGGCGCGTCTGTCTCAATCCCCATTGCCACCTTCAATGACCCCTCATTCCAAACATCATTGGCCGATTTCCTTGCTCAAGCCAGCAAAGAGTCAATCAAGCGCTTTGCAGCCAGGACGACTAAAGCTGGCAACTTTGTGGCTGAAAACCGTGACACCGTTGCACCAGTGCTTATCACTACAGCTTTTATGACAATTTTGGAGGCGAATGGTACTCGGTACTATCCCACCATTCTCACGAAGCGGGTTCGTGACGATGTTTGCTGGTCTGAAGGAGAGAAGCCTTGGCGCCGAAGCCCTCTATGGCTAATTCTAAGAGTTGCTATTACGAGACAACTTTGCACAATATTTGGTGGCGAGGTTGGTAAGTTCACTGCATGACCTCTCAAATGCAAGCTAACAAGCGGTCAACTGACTTTATCTTCTTGATACAGGTAGAGCGCTGTACAAATTTATTATTTGCCAATTCCTTTCCACTCTCCTTAGTCAATCAACTACGTTGGAATCTGCATTGCTGTCACACTTGAAGACCAAGCTGTGCCGTCGACTCGCCAAACTCGAGACTGACAGACAAAATGCAAGTGCAAAAGTCCAGGAGACATACGACTATTTGTTCAACAAGCTGGAGTCAAAGTTTAGCGGAGTTGTGAAGAAGACGTCCGAAAGTATTGAAAGAGAATGGGCAAGCTGGAAAGCAAACACAAAACGTCCGGTTCTTGATTTGCCTCGTCATGCTCACCCTAGGCATCAGTATTTGACACTGCCAAACAGTGGTCAATACATTCAGATGGTTCTTAGCGAAGCCGCACAGAACTCGCGAAAGGGCTATTTCTCCACAAATGCCAATCACACACCCTCTACATTCGAATTCTCTTCTGCCGCTACACGCCAAGCTCATGTTTTCGCTTCGAAATACTTCAAACTTGCTGAAATAGAGTCGATCATCAACAGCGTCATTATGGAGGGCTCTAACGAACCTGATTCGGAGACACAATGCATCCAGGCAGCAACCCTCATCAGAACGTATATGGATCAAGTAGCAGACGCCTACGATGGCTACAGTGAGAAGAGCGTAATGCTACTGTTACTCCTGGAGCTTTGGGTGCATATGGATAAGCACTGCATCAGAACTATCGAATTGCTGAAGGATTACCACCCTATGTTTCCGTCACACATCTGTAAGTTTAGAATTTCAACGGCCAACCCCAATACCTTCAAGCTGACGTGCCCATCTTTCAGTGGATGTTCTACAATTACTAACTCTCCGAGATCTAAAGCGCATTCAGAACGTGCGAACGTACCTTGAGGACCGACACAAAAAGGCTCAAACACATATGTCCATCTTCACAGATCCCGTGAAAGGGTGCTTCGCCGAACGATATTTTGATTCAGCTTCTGGCGAAGAACTTCAGGAGTTATACAATAAAATCATGAGAGCAGCAGAGACAAATCGTGAACAAAAGAAGGATGAATGGGAAAGAAAATGCCAAGAATTCGAGGCTCTGACCAAGTTAATATCCGAAAGTTCCTGCATTTTCCATGAAGACGAGTATAGACGTGTTCATTCGAAGGATTGTAAAAAATGTTATCTTGAGCGCTGCGCGGCACGCTTCAAAATCAACTCTCATGAAGACCCGTTATCATCCGATTTGACCAACGCGAAGGCCACGGTTTTCGAGTTGGCTTGCCCGAAAGCTTTCATTGCATACCGGGAGAGCACTTGGAAAATTATCAGTACTCTAGCCTTTCAAGAGCCCGTCTTTGAACAGGAACCGAAGATAAGAATATCAGATTACAGCGAGCTTCAGCCATTCAAAAGATCGCTGGGGACACGCATTTCTCTTGCCTCATACACTAAATCCTTTCTAATCACGCACTACGCATCCTCTAGATTTCCTGTTGATTTGTGTGATATACTTCTCACAAATGGTCTGAAGCTACGATTGTATGATAGTAGCACGCACACCTGGATCGGGCAAATAACACAAAGACTGACTTTTGCCCACCACTGCACACTTGTGGTACCCGATCATTCGCCCTTCTCGGCTTTCCTTTCAACAGTCGATTTCGCGGAGGATTCCCAGGGTCCATCGTCTTACTCTGTCATTTCTAGCCAAACAAAGTGTCCTTCCGGACTCAACATACACGAGTTTCTTGCTATTCAAGCCCTCCTTTCTTGCACAAACCTCCGGTGGCTTCAGATTTGCCGCGAACTAGGGTCTGCGAATATAAATCTGAGCACCGAAGTTGCTGCGATTGTTATTTCTCACCTAGCTTTGAAGGCGGGACCAGCACACACCTCTTCTCATCCTCTGGGTGCCGCACATATCGTCTTTCAAGATCTTTCGTTCTGCAAGAGATTACTATACCAGCTCGGCGAACGCTTAGAAGGTATTAACGCTAATTATCGCGAGATTTTTTGCATGGAATGTTTGGTCACTTTGATTCTTAGACTGGCTTCGCTTGGCACGACAGTGTTCAACGAGGCATTCGACTTGCTTCTGAGAGTCCGTTCAATCACACTCAAATGGATGAAGAGCCTTCGAGCAGAGATTCATGCTGCTACCAGTGTTGAGACTTCGAGAAATCTGTCAAGATACGCCTTGTGGGCCGCAATACTGTGCCGAAGAACCTTTGCCATATACGTCGAATCTCAATATCCAGACGCCGATGCAATGTCTTGTTTTGTCTTTAGCTCAATCACATTTCAAGATAATCTTGTGTCAGATCCACAAGGGTTGCCTCGAATTCTGAAAAACGCCTTAATTCGGGATTTCAAAAATGCTTATCGCTTGAAAATTATTCTTCGATCAGCTCTGCAAGGCGATCCCACCTGCTTGATTACAGCATTCTCCGCCATCCTCCCTAACTTCATTGTAGAGCCACAGAAGAGTTCTTTTGAGTCAGATTGCGCAAAACAACCAAGCGAGGCTTTCTATGACAGCGATGGTAACCCAGGAACAGAATATTCTGCATTTACTGTCAAGTTTCTGCTCGCTCAGCATTCTGATAAGTGGTGGATTGAGCTCAAGACGAAAGCAACGTCTGTTTCATTTTCTCAAACCATTCATTTCCACCTATTGGAAGGTTACTTTCTTGTTGGTGGTAAACCCATTAATAAACTACCAGCATCTTATAGGAATTCCGTCGTTCTAGAGGAGTTGTTTGGGAACGAGAGCTTACTAACTTACCCCTCCAACCTACCCGGAATGGAAGTAAGTTTTATGAAATTTCAAAGAAAAAAGCAATTCTGACACTGAGATCTCACAGTACATGCTGGCCGTCAACAAAAGAGGACACCAAATACATCTTGGTTCTCGTCAAGGAACCATTTTTGTCAAGGCTCTGGTATTCAATCGGGTTTTAGAGCATATACCTCGTGGCGTATTTCGTAGCTCCAAAAGTTTCGACTTGCCCTATAATCTCATAGACGATTGCATTCACTGGCTTGATACAGCCACGGGTCGTATTGAAATTCGCCCAAATACAAATATCTGGAAGTACAAACCGAGTAACTGGATTATTGAATTTCATCAACGAAAAGCATATCGTCGCCAATCACAGCTGCTCGACCCTCAGAGTCCTTTATTCCAACGCGTGGCCCGCCTGTTCCGATACTTTGAGTATCAATCGCACTTGACGGTGTACCAGCCAGAGAAGGGAACCCTGTCAGTCGAATTACGTCGTCTAGAATTGTCATTTTCGGTTAACAAGAGAGGCCTTCTTGAGTCTCGCCAGCTGCGTTCAGAATTTGACCCCGATCAGGATCCAGGAACTTGGTACGGGTTAATGAGCGCAATCGTTCTGCGGGGGGTAACTGCGGGCTGGGACAACATTCCACTTAAAACACGCAGCATAATTGTTCCCATACCACCTGTTGTAACTGAAGATACAGATAAATTTTCAATGACATACAAAAGACACGAGGTTCATGTAAGTCTTTTTGTCATCAACAATGGCACTTACGGGAGGTATACGATAAACTCTACTCTTGGACGCCTCGACTGCCCTGCAGAGCCCCGTCTTCTTTACATCATGGCCCAATTTCATGCTTTCTCGTCATACATCGTTCCAGATCCTCTGTAAGTATTTGACGTACACCATACGAAGGGGGACGTGGGAATTTGTGATATCAATTCCCCATCGGTTCTTCGCCAACAAACTAACACCAAGTCAATCAAGCAAATGGCCTCTGGGGAGATAAAGACCTCAAGTAGAAGTCTCTATACTCCTCATTAGGTATTTGGGTGTTTCTTTCGTCTTATTTTTGCTCCCTTTAGAAAATCCTCTTCCAGAAATAGACTAACGTACATTTTACAGAACAGGCAGAACCGGTACAGAGCAAGCCATTCATTTGTTGAAATCGGGAATTTGTCAGCCATGGGGCCCGCTTACCATACCACAAGCTTTTAGTCTGTCCTGTATTGCTTCTCTTACGCCTGCGCGAGTTTATTATCCATCTGGCATGAAGGTAATGTCACGAACAAAATGGTTAGATGGTCTTACCACCACAATCCAACATGATGCTTTCGCTGAAATCGTTGCCGCCCTGTATGCCAAGTCCGAGCAATTAGCTACATTTGCTGTTGAGAAAAATGAATTCCCCCCTTTGGATTCTGACGACGGGGAACCTCACCTCGTCTCGAGAAGTTTCTATAGACGCCAAAGTTACCAGCGCCTCGAGATTTACGGAAATATACAGCCACAAGGAGACATACACTACACCCCAAGAGATGGTTGGCGACAGAGAACAGATAGTCTCGCATCCTTTGAAACAAATGCTTCTACGGTTGCCCGATCGAATGTGTTCGAATGTGTGACTCTATTGCGTACTTGGCCTGCTCGGATGTCGACAGAAAAGAGTCTTGTCAAAATTCTCCAGGATTGGTCAGACTTTGGCGGTTATAACGAACCTTTTGATAGGATTCTTCTCAGTGATCTCTTGAACATGGACTTCAAGGTCCAATGGGGGCCCTTGGTACAGCTGTGTCGAACAATGGGCAAGAATGACTTGTATAAATTGATGTTTCTTCTCGGGACAATTTCTTTCAGGGTTGATGTCAACATGAATATCGTGCGAGCTCTCATCGCGTTTGTCGTGTATGGGGACCTTAAGAACCTCGCGCCTCCGCGCTGGTCAACATACTCAAAGTTTCGGCAGCATCAGACTCCACGGATCGAATATCTTCTTCAACTCCTCCGACCTTGCCTTGTACCTTACGGAGAAGATGAGAGATCGACTGTGGAATTTCAACTAAGCGCAAAGTATAGGCGAAGGCTTGTAATGGCTCAAAGTAAATACGAGGAAGAACAACAGCAGTATGCAACACGACTTGCGGAACACATCTACAACCAGTGGCCATGCGCTGAGCCCAGTATGGAAGGGTTTTCTGCGACTACTGGTATAGACGTAGCACGAGCCTTGGAGATAATTCGCCCCGAATGGCTGCGGCTGTTTCAGAATTTCGAGCTCTGCGGGTATATTGCTCTCGTACAGAATGTCTTGGATAGACATGAAACAGACGAAAAAGTAGAATTTCCAAAGTATGAATTCCCAGAGCAATTGGTTTTCCCTGAAAGAATCCGTGGCGGTGAGTTTCCAACGCTGGCTCAACTTTTTGGGAAAAAGGGACCGGGAAAGTTTCAGGCGAAGTACACCAACGATGCCGTTGGTACGAAAGACTCGGTACCTACCCGTGACACGAAAAGACAAGGTGCACTAACCTCAATCATGCCCATAGAAGCACAAGAGCTGCTGAAGGTAGTCAAGCAGTTTATTCATTCGAAATCTATTGTTCGTCAGACTTATGGAAAGGATCTGATGCAAAGTCTGGAAGCTCTTGCAACTGTCAGCAAAGTCTCCAAAGAGAAGGAATTAATGCATCCTATCATACTTGAAAAATCTCTATCAATAGCAAGACAATCTACCATCCAGGCTTTCGCCCAGCTGCGGTCAGCTTTCGATTCACATGATCCTCGCGTGCGGTGGCTTCAAGGAGGTGGTATATGGCCAAGTACCACCACTGTTACTCTTCTGGAGCACTTAAGATCTTCCGTTCCGATTTCTGTGTTTGGGAATGGCATGAGAGAAGCGTTGGTCGCCTATGCGTTATCCATTACGAACTTGCAGCGTTTGATTCGCATAGAAGAGGCAATTATGAACGGGTCGAGACCAAAAGCGCTCGAAGAGCAAGAAAATATCGGCCACGAGAATTGGAATCCCTCCGAACGTTCTGATTGGCTTCTACTCGAGATTGATGCGAATATTTTGATTCGACCTGGACAAGTTGATGTCGCCCTTGCAACGATAGCTCCTGCCTCTGGAGCAAATTCGGTTCTTCAAATGAACTGCGGTCAAGGTTAGTTTTGTTTCTTTTGCATACTCTGTTTACCCAGATCTGTAGGACGACTGTAATAATTGTACTAAAATTTTCGGTCAACTACTTTCGTCATCCTAATTGATCGGGGTATCTAAATACCCAACTTGCGATAATAGCATGGATATTTGCTGCCACTTTTCGTGCTCAGCGCGTACCATATATCTTGGGATAAATTGGACAATTTATTCCAGAGCTAGTACAAAAACATTTCCTCGAGGTTTTCGCTGAGCAATGCACAGTCCTCGCGCAAAGACACACCGAAATTGATATATTACTTTATTTAAATGATTCGAAGTTCCCAGCTAACGAAGATTACAGGCAAAACATCCTGTATTATGCCTATGTCTGCCGCCGTGCTAGCAGATGGAGAAAACCTTCTACGGGTAATCGTACCAAAACCTCTCCTTTTGCAATCGGCCCAGACTCTGCAAGCCACCTTGGGTAGACTTCTGGGGCGGCGCATCACCCATGTCCCCTTCTCCAGAAGAACCGCTACTAATTCAAAGGTCATCAAAACATATTTCGACATCCATAAAGAGATCCTAAAGGATTCTGGGTGTATTGTTGCGCTTCCAGAAAATATGATGTCTTTCAGACTAACTGGTTTGCAAAAGCTCTCAGACGGCAACGTGCCTGAAGCAACCAGCATGATCAAGGTCCAAAATTGGTTGAATTCAAAGGCGAGAGATGTCATGGATGAGGTTGATTATATTCTTGCGATCAGAACTCAACTTATCTTCCCTAGTGGAACCCAGAAATCAGTAGATGGCCACCCTTTCCGATGGGAGATCATCGAAGCAGTTCTGAAACAGGTCGACTTACACCTCTACAGTCTGCAGAAAGCTTTCCCACAATCTATTGAAGTGGTTCGACGAGCCCAAGGAGGCTTTCCGGTCGTCTTCTTTCTTAGGAACGATGTAGAAACCGAATTAATTTCCAAAATCGTTGAGGACGTCTTCCGAGGCAGATGCTCTATATTACCCGACGATTGTTCCAAATCAGACCGGCTTGCAATTAAGAAATTCATCTCGGAGCCTAAACCCTCAACTCAAGTTCTCAAGCACATTCAGCAGATGCTACCCAACAAACCTGCTGTCAAACAAATTGTACATCTTTTGCGCGGCATTCTGGTACACAGAATCTTGTTGATGACCCTCAAGAAGCGGTGGAATGTTCAGTATGGGCTTGCCCCTGACCGCGATCCAATCGCTGTCCCATACCAAGCCAAAGGAACGCCCTCTTCGCAGGCTGAGTGGGGACACCCGGATGTTTCCATACTATTCACATGTCTGTCATTCTACTATGATGGATTGAACGTTTCTCAGCTGCGCCAAACTCTCGAGCACGTTCTTAAATCAGATGATCCTTCACAAGTTTATGACGGTTTATCGCAAGAGTCCTCATTGCCGGATTCTCTGAGAGACTGGAGCTGTGTTAATGTCGATGACGAGGCACAGATACATGAGATACACCCGCATTTCAAGTATCATGTTATTGTTATCGACTATTTTCTCAATAACTTTGTCTTTCCCAGACACGCCAAGCAGTTTCAGCTCAAAAAACAAGCTTCTGGGTGGGATATACCTTTGCTGTCTTCGCTAACCTCCATTGGTGTTGGTACTAAAGCAATGCCAACATCCAGTAGGATTCCTCTAACGACTGGATTCAGCGGTACCAATGATTCAAAGCGAATGTTACCCTTAACAATCAAGCAGCAAGATCTTCCTCGGTTAGCCCATACGAACGCCGAAGTGTTGACATATTTACTCAAGCCAAGGAATCGCCGTAAGCAACCATGTTTCTTCTGTCCAAACATCTTTATACTCTATTCATTGTCCTCAGGCCATTAGGACAGCTCGCTGAAGATTATGAGCCCCTTTTTCTCAGCGCTCTTACGGCCAAGTCATAGTAGTGCTCGGATTCGGCTGACTTTTGCCATTTTAGGATACGTGCTCGCCGCTGATTACAACGGCAAACGACTATCGGAAATAGGGCTGCTCGACAGACTTAACAGATACAAAATCCATACTTTTATTGATGCAGGGGCCCAGATTCTTGAGATGGACAACTCTACCCTCGCAAAAACCTGGCTGGCAATGAGTGACGCTTTGGCATGTGTGTTTTTCAACAAAGACAACAAGCCATTCGTACTGTACCGTCAAGGTCACCAAGTCCCGCTTCTGGCAACTCCATACGCCGATGACCTTACTGATTGCCTTGTCTACCTCGATGAAGCTCATACTCGCGGTACTGATCTAAAGTTCCCAGCGAATGCCGTTGCTGCTCTGACCTTAGGACTGGGGCAAACCAAAGACTCTACGGTACAGGCTGCTATGCGACTTAGACAACTAGGAACCACGCAATCTGTTGTGATATTTTCGCCGCCTGAGGTGCATCAAAGCATTCTTGATCTCCGTAAGAAAAGATCCGGCGAACACATCGACTCATATGATGCTGTTTGCTGGTTGCTAGAACAGACATGTTGCGGCATTGAACAACTACAGCCATTGTACTTTTCCCAGGGCTTAGACTTCTGTCGCCGGGCGCAATGCGCGTTAGATAATCCAGACTTTCTCGTTGATCGTGACCAACGGGAACAGTTTCTCAAGGGTATCAGACAATTTGAACAGCAAACCCTGGAACAACTTTATGGAGTTAAGGTCAAGTCCAAAACCGCTACCACTCTTGGGACGTTCTCTCCCGACTTGGCTGTTTTTGTAAAGGAACTCAACAAACAACGCAAAGGATTTCAAGATACCGGAAGCGCCGTAAATGGCACTGCGTTGCAGGAGGTGGAGCAAGAGAGAGAAGTTGCCATTGAGGTGCAGGTGGAGAATGTCCGCGAAGTTCAACAAGCCCACTACCAGCCACTTGGCTTTCCGGGACTGCATCGTGATATTCTTGTATTTGCGAAGACTGGCCGTCTTGCCGCTGACTCAACCGCCTTCATTCCCGCTTTCATGGCTCTTCGACAGACCAATCTAGGTCGAAAACACGGTATTGCAAGTTCTGCCAATATCAGCAAGCTCTTCGTGTCAGTCGAGTTTACAAAAACTGTCAAATTCCCAACTGTTAGGACGTACGATCATTTTCAAGTGAGTAAACTCTCACCACTTAACATCATAAACCAAGCTAACCAATGCCTTAGCGGAGTGTCAATTGGGTCCTATGGAGTCCCATCAACGAAATCGCCATGGTCATCATCCCCGAAGAAGCTGAACGCTTGTTGCCATTACTGCGCGAAATTAATCCTGCTCCCACACATCTTCTAACTTATGCGGCCCCAGTCACTCGAAAGATGATGATTTTCAATGACATGACGTATTATTCTGTTCCAGCCATGCCTGAGGGATGGAAAGCACCAATGTGGCTCAAGATTGAACTTGGGATTTTTGCAGGGCGCCTGTACTTTCAGTATTCAGACTATGAGGAGTTGTGCAAGTATCTTGGAGCTCATGAACGTGCCCAGGAGATGGATGATGATGATGACTCCTTGCTTTTGGAGCAGCCTGATACATGCGCCGATGATCCAGAGGGAGAATACATCGAGCGAGCCGAACCCGTCAAGAAAGAGAATGAGCCAAAGACCTTCACCAAGAAGCCTCTTGTATTCATGCAAGAGTGGTTGGCAATTCGAAGAAAGGGACAGGATTTCACTCACACGCCCATGGTAAGCCAATCTTCTTCCACGAAATGCCCGTAGTTCACATGCTAACGTTCTCACAGGGTCAACTCTGTCAAGGCAAAGCACTCAAGGAAGACCATCCATTCTTTAGCATGCCCGAAGCTCCCAAGAAGAAAGATGCACTTCCCAGAGGCTTCCAAGCAACACGCATCGCCGACGAGGAGGAGGACGATGATGTTGACGAGTTTGTTGGTGACGATGGGTACGGAGCGGAGCTTGGAGCGGATGAAAAGGATGACTTCGATGATGCGCAGTTGTCGGATGTTTCGGATGATCCGGACACTGATTCTTCGTAGAGCTTGAGGATGTTGGCTAGATGGTGTAGCTCTGGTTGGCATTTACATTTGCAGTGTGTAGGATTATTGCTTCCAGATTGCTGAATAAGAAGTGTGTTAGATTAAGACCCGACCTGCTCTTTCTTGCTTTTCGTGTATGTGTCTATTGATTGGTGGTTGACGAATTATTCTGTTGTGTCCCAATTTATAGGTTGATTCTATGGAGATGCGTGTGAATAATAGCAGAATACCCTAGATCAAAGGCCGTTCCACAAATTTACAGACACAAATCATGATATCTCGTGGCCCAAATCATGGCTCAATATGAAGAATATACCCCCCACAGCAGCATTTCTCTGGTTACGCCCAGGGGCCAACCCCACCTTTAACCCCATATAATTTACTAAAGATCGATAGCCATTTTCTATTAACGCCTGGATGACAAGTGTGTGTTATATTGACTCCTAGCAGCCTGTATCATTTAATTCTATAGGAAGTTCTTTTTATACGACCATCACTAGTAGCCCTTCATTACACCTCGCTTAGCGCGTAGTAGGGTAAGCAGTCTCTAAGCAGAGAAGAAAAATACAGAGAATTATTTTTATTCTTAGTTCGAGTTATACAAACGAACTTTTATTAGAACTACTTTAGAACCAGTTATCTAAATCTCCTAAAACTATCAGAATATTTCCACACTTTCAACTTAACTTACGCTATTAGAGAACAACAGAATCTCTGCCTCTTTTCTTGTTCACTAGAAGGAGGTCTAGTCTTTCTTCTGTTCTAAAATATACCACTACCCAAAACGTAAATCCCTAAAATCCCTCGCAGATATGGCTTCAGGGCGTACGGAGAAGATCAGGTGCAGAAGATCGTTGTGCGTCTGCCCCTAATAAGTTAATAACTTTCATTTACAGTACGGTACGTACCACGCCAACACATCCACGCAAAACCATGAGCTTAGGTGCTATATCTAGTTCTTCCGAAGGATTTCGGGCAGAGCCTCTAGATACGGAGCGATTCTCTTCGTGTTCATGAGATTTTTACGCTGGGTGCCCTGCAAGCCAAGTCCCACTTCTTATAGCAAAGTCTGTCTGGACTTCCATTCCGTCCATCTGGACTGATGATATCCTTTAGTGTGCCATCACGGCTTTCTTAGGACCTGAGAAGTTTTGGAGAGAAAAAGTCGCCTCCATACTGTAACCCTTTTAGCATAACAATTCTTTTGAAGCTGAGATCTCACACCAGAGCAACATTACGTGGGTATTGTATATTCACTCCCACATCACCCTCTCTCCCTTCCTCCTTCCTCCCTCCCCCTTCCCGCTTCCCACGCCCACCTCCCGGTCCCTGTCCCTGTCCCCATCTCCGCTTCCCACCTCCTAAAAAAAAAAGTATCAACAAAACCAACCTCCCAAAAAAGAATGTCAAAAAATCCTCACCCTCAAAGAAGGCGGCCTCGGACAACAAACCAGACGAACTGAGTTTTTCGCGGTTTGACTGACTAGTCAATCTTCAAGTAAAGCTCTCACCAACGTTTCCATTAAGTTACTCAGACATGTACCGGACGACTTGGTGTGAGAAGTGTCACTTAATGTTATCAGTGCGAATGGGGTGAATATAGTGAATACCTGTTTTGGAAATGGAAGGAAAGAATAGATATGGAGTGGTACCTCTCTCAATTCAGCTTCCTGCCTCTCTCAATTCAGCCCCGGAAGCTGAATTGATGCTTTCGTTTCTTTTCCTGATCGGAGTAATGCGCAAGCATGGCCGCATAAAATGGCGGCTTCGCCCATTGATTGCTCGGTGTCTCTCTCCACAACTCCAACGTAGCCCTCTGGGTGTTGAGTCGTCCCGAGTCAATGGAAGTTGTTCATGTTGTAGACTCTCGAGCGTAGTACAACTGTACAATCGAGGCACTTTTTTTCAGACTCTCATTCTCGAGTCCTGACTGTAGTGCTAGCCCGATAGTATCCAATCACCAAAGCCTCCCTAAACAGGTAGTAGTAATACCAGAAAGACGTACTCACAAGTTGAATATCAACCACCTCCCTATCTCTCACCCACAAAGCACCCCACAACACAACACAGACCAACCCACCACCAAAAGCTCAACCAAGCCTCAAGAACCACGCTCAGAGCCAACAAGCAGACCAAAGGAGTAATACCCGCCGGACAGAACCAGAAGGGGTATCACCACACCTATCACCTATCCCGATACCACCCGCAGGAACCAGGAAGGAGCCCGTCTGTTTCGACCGTGTTGACACGGTCGAAGATCCCCCGGATGGGATCTTGGTAGACATGGTAGAGTGTACCACTGGCTCTCCCTGCAGTATCCGACCTCGGTGCATCGGACCTTTTTCTGGTTGAGGATGAGTGTTGGGTTGGGATTGATGGTTGGTGCGAAAATGGTGAGTGTGTTGTTGGAAGAAGAGAAATTTGAAGGGTTGGGAGTTGGGCTCTGAAATACTCTTCTCGGGGCAGTGGGGAGGGTCGTTATCGCTCCTTCCTTGTGGTGGGAATGCGGGTACCTAGGTATACTTGCGTGTCTGCTTACTTAGTCTGACCCTGAAGTCTTCGCGATGGAAGGAGCGTTGAAGTATCCCTTCCTCGCTCGTAATCAACCTCAACAGTATGCAAAATCTCAATAGGAAGTTGCATTCCAATTTTACAAAGGAGGAGTCGTTTTCTCGGCACCTCGCTTCTCTCTCCATCACATCTCCACCACAAAGCTTTCATTTTCTAGAGACCCAAAATCTACTCAAAGTCCTTTTTAGATGTGATTTACCATGCAAGTTTCAAAACTATGACTGTGACATAATTGAAAGGAAAACAACCTAGTAGACAATATATGAGGCAAAATTGCGGTGCACCACCAAAAAGAAGTAAGCGAAATCTAAAATTAGAACGCCCGGTGTCATTCATGATTTTGAAGAAAGCATTCAATCCCAAGATTACCAGAGTGTATATGGAGACTAAGGTCTAGTAGCTTGTAGTATGCATGAATATATGAGGATGAAGCTTGGATGCAGTGTTCTATGCTGTTTGGCAAACTGGATGTGTGTCCACTTGCTACCTCCGGCCTCTACTTTTGTTGAACGAGAGGGCTTTCGGAATGAGTAGCCAATTTTCCTTCAGCTATCTTAAATCATATCATTCTTTCTTGAAATTTGAATCGCATTCTTCTAAGTAGTACGATAACAACAACTAAGAAGAGACCGAAGTCTCAACATCCGCTGCTATGCCGTTGCCTTTCAACAATGATCAGTTCTCTTAACTCCACGTCTGGATATCTTCATATCCTTATCAAACCAAGCTTACGCGTCTCGATCCCGTATCTCTTTCACGTTAACCGAGCCTATACTGGCCAATGAAAGACTCCCGATCTGTCCAGAAACTTCGATGACTCGATGGACACTAAATCTCGCTTAGCATCCCTTATGAACAAACCAGCCCCCTCAGACTCGACACAAGACAACAACAACACAACACTTTGAACTTGTCCAGCTACAATAACTGGATTCTTACTGTCACCACCTCTCAGCACTACGTTTGAGAGTAGTTGGTCGCGTACGGGTTCTCTGAGGATTGAAAGTCGAAGGTCTCCGCGACGATACACGATTTCCGCGCGCGCGTCTTTTTCTCACGATTTCGCGTTGTGGTCTTCGGCTTTGAATTCTAGAAGTGGTAAGTGAGCATACTGTGTCATCATGGACTTGGTTTTGAGGAGCTATCACTGACAATTTAAAGATATTCCCGTCTGATTTCCGTCGCGTCGAGACATCGTCCTCATTTTTGTGTGTAAACACATCTCCCCAGACCCAACCTCATCTTCCATTCCAACTCACACCAAGCCACGTAAGAACCTCTCATCCCATATCTCAATCCCAACCCCCTTTAACCCAGTAACTAACCCATCCAAGACCAACTGCCAAAATGCACCCCCTCCCCGGCCGCAACACCATCCCCACCACACCCACCATCTACATCCCACCCCAACGCACCCAACGGGTCCCCCAACCCCNAAGACCAACTGCCAAAATGCACCCCCTCCCCGGCCGCAACACCATCCCCACCACACCCACCATCTACATCCCACCCCAACGCACCCAACGGGTCCCCCAACCCCTCAACATCACCCTCCAAATCGACATCCCCGCCGCAATGGCCTTCTTCCAAACGCGTCTCACGACCCTCAACGAGGAGCGACGCGTCGAGGCACGTGAGGAGCTCGCTGCGATGGCGCAAGTGTATGTAAAGGTTGCGAAGTGGTACGTGTACCGTACTGGACCGGCGAAGTATCGTGCGGAGGTTGAAGCTGCGGATGGGAAGGGACCGGAGGATCCGCATCGGATTTGGGTGTTTGAGCGTGTGAGGTTTTTGAAGGAGGTTGCGAATTATGGGAATAATGTGAGTGAGATTGAGAAGTTAAAGTTGAGGGGTACTGACGAGTGAGGTGTAGTTGCGTAATCAGAAGGATATTGGACTTGAGAAGAGATATCATCGGGATGAGACGTTGAAGGCTGCTTTTCTTCTTAGGGAGGCTACGCGTATGAATCTTTTTTTTTTCACCTTCCACCAAAACCCCGTCCTCTTCACTCGTTAGGGTCCTCACTTTCCCCTTTTCACCTCGCTAACCGAAAAAAATAGAATGCACCTTCTCCAAACTCGCAATCCAACAGCTGACCCTAGGCATCAACCTCTTCTGGAACAAGCGAGAGAAACTAGAACGTCTACAAAACGACTTCAGCATGGACGAAGCATGTCTCATCGACAGCGACTACTACAGAGAGGGTCTCTTGAAGGGTAAGTGGGGACGCGAGATCTGGCGACGATGGGACAAGGATGAGCGCGAGAATGGGCTGAAAGGCTGCGATGGTGATTGTGGATGTGCGTCAGAAAACGAGTATGAAGAAGAGATCCATGAGATTAACTATACGGACTATGCTGAGGACACTGAGGAAGTTAAGCAGACCGAGGAGATTGAGCAAAGCGACTCGGACGCGACAAGTGAGAGAACCGACGAGTTCGAAGAAGAAACCACACCCGAGGAATCCTTCAGCTCACTTCCCCAAGTCCGAGTCAACCATGTCGTCACTGAGCCGATCCCCTCCAAACCCCAAACTCCTAGCAAGAAATCCGCTTCCCAAGTCGAAGACACGGTCCAAGAGCCAGTTCACGCCGGATCTCTAACTCCTTTCACCAAATCCCGCGTCGAATCCTTCGTACGTAGCGACCAGGAGCGAATGGAGCGCGAACACGCACGCGAGGAGCAGATCCGACAGATGATTGTGAGCAAGCAACTAGTAGCGATCTCCCCCGCCTCGGAGAGAAAGCAACTAAGTCCTAACAAGAGCTGGGACGGTGGTATTAATGACAGTTCCACTGATCGAAAGCAACGAAGCCCCGACAAAAGCTGGGACAGCGTTCTCGATTCCAACATCAAAGAACGAAAACAACGAAGTCCTAACAAGAGCTGGGATAGCGGTCTTCATCATAGCATCGCAGAGGAGGAGACCATGTCCACCGATACCGAGAAGATCGCATTGGCCAAGGCACCTGCAGAGCGAGAGTTTTCGAAGGCGTGGAAGGAGATGAATGAGGATACACCGAGAAAGAAGTGGAATGGACGGGATAATTGGAGACGGGGATGAAAGCTGATGTGATTGTTTACAGTAGTTGGGATTTGAGATTGTGGATGGATGGTGGATGGCTTGTGTTGAGTGGGGATGAAGGACATGGAAAAGCTTTTTTTCTTGTTTCTGTTTGTGTTTTGTGGAGGGGAGAGGGGTTGGTGTTTATGAGGGGAGAAGTGGATGGATTCTTGTTTGATGACAGTTAGACTGTGAAGTGTTTCGTTCGTTCAAGATACATGTACGGCACTGCTGGCTGCTTTTCAAATGTTATGAAAAGAAGCTATGAACTCTAGGTAGAATGTGGATTAGGTTCGATGGCACATACACTTGTAGAATGTAGTAGTCCATAGAAAAAATCTCATTGCGCCTTTCTTTACACTCCTCGAGAATTACATGTCCTTGATTTTCTGTAGAGTATTCTTACTTACAGTACTTTCGCGCCGGGTCCCTCTCAAAAGGAATCCACCCATTACTCACCTTCTTACAATGTAATACTAACTCGACGGTACTCAACTCACTCCATAAGCGATATGCCTTGTTTTGGAAGGTAAACTAGTTCATGGGTCTAGTTCTGCAGGCTTCTTAATCCTAGTTCTTAAGAATCAACCTAGCCTAATTCAATCGTAGAATATTCATTACTTAAGACATAAGAAGAGAGCTTTGATTACATACTATATTCCTATCTGTCTTACCGACCATGACTACTGAATCTATCTATGTCACGTCACCCCTTAATCCCAACCCAACACACCATCGCTTTGCTTGCTTGCTGCCCAACGACACACAAAAGGTCAAGAGGGAAAAAATGATAGGTAGAAAAAGATATCTATCCATGTGAGAAACCTCCATCAATCAAGAGCCTGTATATCCGAGACCTTTCCTTCAAACTACACCTCGGCTTTATTGCGGCTTAGAAAGGTTGAGGCAAAATGAGGCTTTATTAACGCGGCTCGTATGTAGCGAGCAGCTCGGGAAACCCGTAAAGAGCGATTAGGCGCATATATTCCTTCGAGTGACGTGGAGGAACGATGCATTAATTTACTTTGACATAATTTCCTATGAAGTTGTTAATCAGGCTATTCTCCATCAATACAAGAATGAGGTGATACATACCTGGGAATTGGCCTTGTTTTCCTCTGATCTTTCCTATCCACCATTCATTTTCATTATTCGTCCTCGTGACGATTTCAATTATATCCCCAGTTGTAAAACTCAGATCCCCTTCAGCTTGTGCTTCGTAGTCGTAGAGCGCCGTTGCAGTTTCAGATGGAGGCGCACCACTCAGTCTCGACGGCTTGGGCTTAGGTGGTGGCGGCGCCGCTCCTTTTGCTTTTGCTAGCGAACCCCACTTCGTATCTGTGGGTGTCGTGGGTGACAAGTTGCTGGAATATGGTGGTGGTGGATTCTCAGTTGTTTCTAATTCCGGTCTTCGGCTAAGGGCGGATGAGGACGTGGGTGAGACGGGTGAGATGGGTGTCTTTTTCCCTTCAATTGCGAGTCTGCTACTTGGTGGGCCAAGAGCGAGGGGCTTGGATCCAGGCCGTGGTCTTCCGCCAGTAGTTTTGAATTTGACAATTGACAAGGCTTCTGCAGCTTCTTGGATTTGTCCACGTTTAGCCTCGAAAGCCTCCTCCACATCCAATGTCAGGTTGAAGTATCCAATATCGCAGCCTTGCATCTTCTCGTGCAGGGTATAAAATACGTTTAGTTGCATGTAGTAGAATGACTGGAATAGTGGGCGAATGAACTCGCGTTCCAGGGCAAACAGCTTCGGCAATTCATCCTTCAGGAGGTCATTGTAGTAATTGAATTCTTGAGTCGCTTGTTCCACATCATTCTCTGCCTTGTACATGGCCTTTTCGTCTTTCAAGTTTTTGTCTTTCTTGTCCTGAAGCTTTTTCAGGCTGGCACGATGCCTATCGTAATCCAGTTGCTTGTGTTGTCGTTTCAATGCAGTCTTTCTTATTACCTTTACTACCTCCAATAACTCATCAGCAGGTCGGATCACTCTGGATTCAATCATTTCCAACTCGGGAGCCAAAGTTTCCTGCAGGTCCTTCACGATGGCCTCATATTCTTCGCATGCTCTTATACCCTCAGGGTTTCCTTCCGGAATTGCAGAATCGGGATCCGACATACGACCGGAAATGGGTTTGTAGATTTCGGCGATCGCCTGTGAGAATTCGATTTGGTGGTTGAGCATACCATTGATGGCCTCGAAGTACTTTTTACTCTCATCGTGTAGCTTCTTCGTCTCGGATTCCAACTCTTGGAACCTTCGTTCCGCGTCGATGTAGACGGCATCTTTCGTCTGTTCGCCGAGGTTGAACTTTGCCTTGAACGTTTGCGGGGCTGTTCTTCCGTCAACCCATCTGCGACGAGAACTTCTCCTAAATCTCTCCAAGACCCTTACCTCTGACGATGGACTTCTGGAAGCCTTTGAACGACATTGCTTCCTCTGAGATTGATCAGAACGCTGCGTTGATGGATGCCGGTTGCAGGCCGGGAATGGCGGGGCAATGTGGGAGAGAGCCAAAGCTTCCAGGTGCTACAGTACTAGGGTTGTGCTGGTGTCGCAAATGCTCTGCGTTATGAGATATATGGTCGCACGGATATTCAGACTATTTTGGTGGTATTACGGAGTCGTGAATATATGGTGTTGGTGGAGAGGTTGAGCTGGGGAAAGTGGTGGTGGTGGTTGTAGTGTTTGCGGCTTTGGGCTCTTGTTGCGATTTATTGCGTTGTGGATTGAGGCACCGGACAGCAATGACGACGAAGGCCGCTCAGCCACACTACACCCAAAAGCAGGATGACAGTGAATAACCTCAGTTGAGGCAGAATATCGGAATGATTGTCTACAATTAGTACTTCGATCTTATATGATATATCGCTATATCTCCGTAGCAATGAGTGTCGGTTCTCAATCTTGACATCGGCGTGAGATTGTACGAGTACTGGTCAATTAATTGTGCACCCACACCCACACCCACATCCAAAAGTTATGACGAAAGCATCAACGCCACTCCAAGTTTTCCGGTGTACCAGTATTGACTACAATTCCAGGCCACATTTGAATCAGCTAATTCAACAGAGTACTTCTGGAGTTTGCTAAATGCCACAATTCACTACTTATGAAACCCGTCATATACTTATTAATATTACCAAACAAATTCTTGCAAACGCTTTCCCATTACCCCATCCCATGATGCACGTTTTCAATCGACCAATCAGCGTGCGTCGCTTGGGACCTAGCTCAATTTTGCGCAGAAGCCGAACGAAGGCAAAACCCATTTCCATTTCTCCTCCCCCAACAGTCTGATCTTATCAGATTCGTGCAACAACCAACGTACAACACCAGCAAGATGCCCAACATAGCTGCGAACTCCTTGCGGCAGGCATCGCGCCTTTGCTTGAAGCCGGCTGTCTCGAATGCGAGTTTGCTACGAGCTTCTACACATCGCGCTGCCGCCATCTCTGCCCAAAAGATCGCAACGAGGGGTTACGTCTCGGAGTCCAAGAAAGATAATGCACAGGTCAGCGTCGAGACCGCCATCCGGGCTGATCAGAAGCAGTTCTTTCAAGAGACTGGTAAACGTCCACAGGACGAGATTGTCCCAGGAACCAGCACAACTGCAGATGCCATGATGAGTCCTATGGCGGGTATGTCCACATCTGATCTCCGGGAAAAGAGCAAACGCTGACAAAAAGTGAAGGTGTACTCAAACAAGCCACCATCATGGACGAGGGCCAGCGACCGATTTATCTCGATATGCAAGCCACGACTCCTCTGGACCCGCGAGTGCTCGATGCCATGCTGCCATATTACAGTGGACTCTATGGAAATCCCCATTCAAGAACACATGCATATGGATGGGAGACCGATAAGGGAATCGAGGACGCTCGCGAGCATATCGCTAGTCTGATCGGAGCTGACCCCAAGGAAATTATCTTCACGAGCGGTGCTACAGAGAGTAACAATATGAGTGTGAAAGGCGTCGCAAGATTTTTTGGTCGAAGCGGCGGAAGGAAAAACCATATCATCACCACACAAACGGAGCACAAGTGTGTTTTAGACAGTTGTCGCCATCTGCAAGATGAAGGCTTCCAAGTCACTTACCTACCAGTACGAAATTCTGGCTTGATTGACATGAAGGAGCTTGAAGCGGCCATCAGACCTGAAACTGCAATTGTTAGTATCATGTCGGTCAACAACGAAATTGGTGTTATCCAACCGTTGGAAGAGATAGGAAAACTTTGCAGATCCAAAAAGGTCTTTTTCCATACCGATGCCGCTCAGGCCGTCGGAAAGATACCCATGGATGTCAATAAGATGAATATCGACTTAATGTCCATCTCATCACACAAAATATATGGACCCAAAGGAATTGGAGCCTGTTACGTACGAAGAAGACCTCGTGTTAGAATTGACCCAATCATCAGCGGAGGTGGACAAGAGAGAGGATTGAGAAGTGGCACGCTCGCACCCGCACTAGTTGTTGGTTTCGGTCAGGCGTGTCGGATTGCCAAGGAGGAGCTTGAAGTAAGTTTTACCCCACCTGTTTCCTCTATCCCCTATTTTTACATGATGATTTACATTACATATGCATGGCTTTCCAAGTGTATCTCCTTGCTTGCAAGTTGAGGTTTCCTTGACGAGAACAGTACCCTGTCTGAATTCAATTATTTCCCGATGTTATCTTGACTTTTTTTATGAGCTTAAGCTGACACTCTTTCAAGTACGATTCAAAGCGAATCAAGAAGCTTTCCGATAGACTCCTTAAAGGTCTCCTATCCCTTGAGCACACAACTCAGAATGGTGACTCAAAATCCTTCTACCCAGGTTGCGTCAATGTCTCCTTTGCGTATGTCGAGGGTGAGTCTCTCTTGATGGCATTGAAAGACATCGCCTTGTCTTCCGGGAGTGCGTGCACATCCGCCTCATTGGAACCTAGTTACGTCCTCCGAGCTCTTGGAAGCAGTGACGAGAGTGCGCACAGCAGTATCCGATTCGGAATCGGTCGTTTCACAACGGAGTCAGAAATTGATTACGTTCTCAAGGCTGTCACGGATAGAGTCTCATTCTTGCGAGAGTTGAGTCCGCTCTGGGAGTTGGTACAGGAGGGAATTGCGCTTGACAGTATCGAGTGGAGTCAGCATTAGTTTTGCTCACGAAGACGGATGATTTTTGCTCTTGGTTGGCATGGGTTTCTTATTTTTAAGGTAAAGCAGGCAAAGCGGGCGTCTTGATTTGATTTTCGGGGAACATGTGTATGAATTGTGTATTGTAGCATTTTGATAGCCGCACACGATATGGCTGGTGCGAGGCTTCTACGAAGGAAGTAGCTAGGTTCTTTCTTTTCAAATAACCTGTGTGTATAACAAACACGACGATCTTCCAAAATTATAGCTTTGTGGCTGCTGGATAAATACGCTTTTTGGTTGGTTTCTATTGCTATTGATCACTGGACGTGTGGGTTTCCTTGGTCACGATGAAAGATTCTTAATCAAGCCCTAGTATTTCGGCATGTGTACCGTTATTTTTTCTCATCTTCTGTCATGTAATTTAGATGAAGAAAGGTAAGGAGAAGTCCTCGAAAACTCTCAATGGACCGGCGACCCCGAATAGTAAATAAGGTCATCCGAAGAAGCCGCTTTTCAATAGAGATTATATATATTTATCAAGGAAGGGTATCTATCTATGCAAAAGTTTTTGATGTACTGTACAACGAGCAGCAGAAGTAGGTCTTTCTTTGCCATCCCAGAGCAGAGTCCCAGAGCAGAGTCCATATTGTTCTGTTTTTCCAATTCTTTAGGCTCTTCGTTTCGAGGTTCTGAGGGGAGAATTCTCGCTTAAAAGTAGTCTCGACTCATATTAATTAGTCGACCCAACCCTCGCTTCTTCAATCCCCTCCACAGAAACCGGCCTCCCAACCGGCCTCTCCCTCCCCGTCTTCGCATTCTCCGCCCACAAATCACCCCCCGTGTAGAACAAACACGGCACCGCCCCAAAAAACGAAAACACCGCCAGGGACCAACTCATCGTCCCCCATCCCGCAGCATTATTCACATACCCGGCCCACACAGGACCAATAAGCGAGCCCGCGGCAAACGCAGCAATGAACAATCCATAGGCTTGCGCATAAGCGCCTGTCGCACCGAACCGGCCTGGTCGCTCTTTTTCTTTGGCTTCGACGACGTAGGTTATTTCGGCCATGAGGGGGGGCATGACGAGACAGAGGCCGACGCCGATGAGGGTTAGGAGGACGCAGAAGAGGGCTTTTTGGCCCAGCGTGTTATGGGTTACGAGCCGGAGGAGGATCCAGAAGGGGATGACGATTAGGAAACCGAGGACGGAGAGCCAGCGTGGGCCGTGGGTGTCGGCTAGGTGGCCGATGTAGGGGCTTGCGAAGGAGGGGATGGTGATGCAGAGGAAGACTACGCCTGCGCCGGTGGAGTTCCACTATGTGGGTTTGTTAGTGTGTGGTGCTTTCTCGAGTGACTTGGTCATGTTTTTGAGATGAGGGCAGTTGACGTGTTTGCGGCTGAAAGAATTGGGAAAGGTTGCGGAGGGGTGGATGGATGCGGAGTTACACTTACACCAAATGTCTCCATCACGAAGAGAGGGACAACGCTGTCAAATGCTGTCATAAGGGACCCTTGTACGATACAGCCCCATAGTGCTATCAGTAGTCGACGGGAAGCCAGCAGGGTGAAGACTGGGGGTAGTCCTCGACTACGTGGAATTGGTTCGTCTTCTGGAATAGGACTGTTGTTGGTGTTGGTGATAACTGGTACTCGGCTATTTTCGTGAACCTCGTGGTCCTTTTCTTGTGTAGAATCTGTTGTCTCACCCACAGCCAAAGCTGATTCGGAAACTGCTGGCTGAGTGACTGTCCATTTCCGTGCTATTTTCTTCTCCACCAGAAAAACTCGGAGAACAATATCGAGGGCGATCAAGGAGAAAGACATGTAATACACGGAATAATAACCAGCTCTTTCGTAAACGAGACCACCCAGCAAAGGCGCCAGCAAAATAGCAACAGCCATGCTCACACTCGTCCATCCTAGTACTTCTCCAATGGAATTCTGTCCCACGGTATCTACCAACAACGCGGTGCCAACTGTCCATACTACCGCCGCGGCAAACCCTTGCAAGACCCGTCCCATTATGAAGAGTACAATGGTCCTAGCCAAGCAAAGCATGACAGTTGAGCCTCCCAACGCAAATAGACCGAGTAGAAGAGGAAGTCGTCTACTTGACGAACGATCCGCCCACCATCCCGAGAGAGGACTTCCGACGAGAAGAGCACCGCCATAGACGGCTAATAGAATCGATACCCATTTCTGGACGTCTTTTTGCGGCACACCCGCTCTTTCTTCAAGTGCACGAGGGATGACTGGTACGATAATACCATATAGGAAGAGATCGGTGAAGACTGCCACACAGATGGTGCCGATGATGAAAGTATTGGAGCTTCGTAGGGAGAGGAGGTATGGCGGGGATGAGGTGGTTTTTACTCGTTTGTCGGAGACAAGATTCTTGAGATGTTGCATCGGGGCCATTTCTTGCGTTGGAGGCACGGCAGATGTACAGGTACAATGTACTAGTATATCGGTTGATCTGTGCTACCTTGTTGTGGCAAGGGAGGGTAGAGATGGAGATACTACTATGAAAACAAAGAGCAGAACACCGATGCCATGTCCAAGAGATCAGATAAAGATTCAATACTGATACTTATATTGCAATTTGAAAGCCAAGCATGTACTTTTTATAGATGTAAGATGCTGCTTGTCTTTGGAGTTTGGCTGACTTGTGGGATTTTTGAATTGCATCAATTGCGTAATGGGATATCGGCCTCGGCTCGGAGCTACGGTCACCGCTAACTTTGAGTGGCACCAAAGGAATAGCGCTGACTGAATGTCTTCCCCGTGTTTCCCTCCTGACTTGAAAGACTACCAAACTTCTTCTTCCCGTCTTACTCATTGACCGAGACACAACCTCTGCACCACGCCAGTTGGCGGTTAAGCTTCTGGTTGTAATGGACACTTGTACCTTCTTCGTCTGAATGTTTGCAGCGTGGCCAAACAACGATCGAAGCATCGGGATCGATACTCGGTTTCGTTTTAGTCTTATTCGAATTACACTCTGGTGGGTACTAGAGTGGATGTGGGTAGATAGGTGTTAAGCTAGTAAGAATGGCAGGTTTTAGCCCCTGTACCTACTAAAATAAAGAGTTTCGTAGCCTAGCGTTATTAAAAAAGGCTAGATTTAGCCCTATAGCAAGGTCACCCTAATAATCGATAGCTATCTCGAACCTATACCGCGTAAGAATAGACCTTTCTATATAACTAGTAAGCTAAAGTAGAGTACTTTTATAAGTAATTTAAAGTAGTTTAGCTTAATTAGAATATAAATGATACTTATTATTTTAGCTAGTAAAAGAGGTAGAATAAAAGGGTTATCTAGTAATTATAATTACTAGATTAGAAAACTAGTATATATAGATTTCTACATATTTAGGATATTTTAGTTTTCCCTTAAGTAATTGTAATTATTAGAACTTCTTATAGATTTCTCTAAGTATATAGAAAAGTAGGTATAAAAGTAGGAATTTAGTTATTAATAATATACATTTACTATATCTTTTTATAACTCTTTTAATAGCTCTTTTAATAGCTCTTTTATCTTTAAATTTTTACTAGTTATACTACTTTTATTATTTATAAATACGTCTTTTATAGATAATTCTTTTAGTATAGAACCGTTAGATTCGAAGCTCCTACTTTAATAATATAAGCATTAGTTCAACTTTATTATTAAATATAAAATATAATAACTTATAGGAAGAGGCTAAACCTTAGTATTAGACTATTCCTATTATTAATATATACCGAGTTAAAGGTATAGAAGTCGTACCGCTATAATATAGGTAGGACTAGCCTAGTTAGGTAGTCCGTACTACCGAGTATATTTACTTAGATATTATAGCGACAATAAGATTCTTATAATTAAAAGAGCTTTTATTATAGGATTACAGCTTAATTTTATTAACCTTTCTTAGTATAAGATATATAATTTAACAAGAATTAGTAAAAATAAAGCTACGTTACGTTAAATATAGAATAGTATTATAAATAAAGCCGATAATTCTTTATTACTTAAATCCTTACTTAATACTACTATACTACCTTAATACTATAGATAGGATCGAAGGATTATAAATAGATCTCCTAAATTAAAGGTAATTCGAAAGATATTAATAGAAATGTAACGAATACTCAAACTGGCTAACTAAACTTGGCTGGGTGTTCGCTGGTTGGTATGCTATGATAAGAAGAAGACTATCGGGTTGTTCACTTGGAAGTGAACTCGTTACTTGTATCAAAGACGTCAAACTAATATGATAAGATTGATAACTAAGTTGAGCACGAAGCTCCTATCTAATGGCAGACGTGCCAGTCTTATATAGACCCTTCACTTTCCTGTACTTTGCCAGGACCGCTGGTCGGTCCTTTCGTTCCAGAAGTTCAGACCGATCGTCGGTCCAGTCGATCCAACTAGTCACGTGATAAGTTACGAAGGAAATCCCTGGATCGCTTAGCTAGTCTAAGCATCCCTATTTGCTACAAGAAACCTTGATGTGCCTGTCAAGGGTTGCGCCTCTTTATTATGACAAGTATCACGTGAGCACGTGATTCGTGACATAGACTTATACTAACTCTACTAGTTTTTAGGGTATATTTAAAGATAGTAGACTATAAGATACTATTAACTATAGTTACTTAGCGATCCGCTATACTTATAAAGGTAATAATAGAGGTATATAAGATTAAGGTAAGATAATAAGTTAAAGAGGTACTTAATACTAGAAATAGATCTACGAATATAGTTAAGGATTTACCTCTTAGTTTAAAGATTTAGGTATAGTATAAGAATAAGAAGTAGTAAGAACTATATATTTATAAGAATAAGATAACAAAGATATAATTATTAAGATTAATAATAAGCCTATTAAGTTTTAATCTATAGTTATTAAACCTAGATATATAGACTAAGAAGTTACTAAACTTATTAATCCTCCTATTAAGCCTAGTAATATTATAGAATATCCTAAAGATAAAAGATCTAATAATAACTCGGATTAGCTAAAGGGAGACTTACTACTATAAAAGTATAGCTATAGAAGACTACGAAAAGCTATAATTATTTATTATATAAAGGTATATTTAAAGGACGAAAATACCGAATACTCTATATTTTTTATATAAGATAAGAAAGTTTATCTAGTATTTAATAACTTAAGATAGATTAAGATAGATAGATTAACTAACAATAGAGTATTTAAAGTTATAACCTTTAATTAGCTTTTACAAGATACTAATATCTTTAGTTCTCCATTTATTAATACTACTAAAAACAAGGGTACTTCGGAGGCGTTTAAGAAGACTTAACTTATAGTAAAGGCTTTTAATAATAATAGAAAGAAGTTAGTCCTAATATAATTACTAATAATTTACCGTATTAGTATATAAGTTATAGTTATACTTACTATAACTATAGGCTCTTAAGTTAAGCTTTAGTTATATAATATAGTTTAGGTATATACTTAGTTTATTATAAACCTAATAGACTTAAGTTTATAGATTAGATAGGTTTTATATCTAGTAAATAAGGATAATAACGTTAATATTCTATACTAGAGTTCTATAAAGTATAGACGAATTACTAGAAGTATACTTACTTCTAAGCTATACGCTTTAAGCGGAGGTTTTAATACTACTAGAGTAATTAAATTAATAATTAAGGCTGTTCTTAGATAATATATTAAGCTTACTATTTATATAGATTTAAAGTTAATTTATAAATGCCTAATAAAACTTAGTACAACTAAGGAGAAGCGTCTTATAATTAACGTTATAGCTTTATAATAAGTATATAAACGACGAGAGATTTATAATATTATATAGATTAAGGGAGATTTAAATTCTACTAATACTATAATAAAATTAAAGCTCTACTAGGCGCTTATAAAATTAATTAATTTAAATAAGATTAGTATTATATTAAGGAGTAGTGTCACGAATCACGTAAGCATGTGACAAGTGAAGACCAGGCGGCGTCCTGACAGGTCGAGCACTATCATATCTCTTATAGCAAATAGGGATGCTTAGACTAGCTAAGCGATCCAGGGATTTCATTACATTGTAATCACGTGACCATTTGCATCGCCAGTATCGACAGGCGATGTAGGCGACGGCGGAACATGAAGGTTCTATATAAGACTGGCACGTCTGCCATTAGATAGGAGCTTCGTGCTCAACTTAGTTATCAATCTTATCATATTAGTTTGACATCTTTGATACAAGTAACGAGTTCACTTCCAAGTGAACAACCCGATAGTCTTCTTCTTATCATAGCATACCAACCAGCGAACACCCAGCCAAGTTTAGTTAGCCAGTTTGAGTATTCGTTACAAGTAGGTTAAACGTAATAATAAGGATAATAGATCTAATAATAATTCGGATTAATAAGTAAGGAATTAAGGACTCTAATTAGATAAGAGATATAGAATAGAATATTTTTAGTTTAGCGAATTAGTTATTTTAGTACTAAGTATTTACTTCTCTTTTTAAGAGTAAATCTAGTATCGTTATAAAAATATTGAGTAAATACTTAGTATAAGCTATAGTACGTACAAGCTAGTCTTAGGGCTAGCAGGGGCGCTAGCGCCTTAGCACTACTATATAATAGCGAGTACCTATAACCTTTACTTGGTATATATATCTAATAGTCGAATATAATACTATTCTATTTATATCAACACTTTGTCTGGACTCTCTATTAGAGTTAAACTAACAATGTATTTAAAAGGGGTTAAAGAAGAAGTAAAAGTCGAAATAATTTAGTAGGAGTACGATTTAACTATAAAATATCGAATACCCTGTACCACACCCTGTACCACACCCTGGTACCACCCTGGCATATAATAAATTAGTATCTACCAAGTGGTCCGAGAGTGCAATTCGAATAAGACTAAAATGAAACCGAGTACATATCGGATGAGACAAACTCTCTGCTGCAGCCTTGTGAAAGTGGGCGTCCTGCAGGATGTCAAGATGCTGCTTGATTCTGCACCACATTGACCAATCCCGGATCCAAGTACTCCGACCCGCCCAATTCAACCGTGAAGCAATGCAACCGTACATACGGACTAACCTGAATACCTTCCCCGCCCTTTTAATGCACGGTTTGGACGGCTATATATACTGAAAACCCGGTTCGAGAAAATGAACCCTATATCTTTCAGCTTGCCCAACACCGTACATCTCTGGTTCATCATCTTCCCCGCACAGCCACGGCTATCTATACCAATTCTTCTATATGTTGGTAAATGTGTTCCTGGAACAACAAACAGCTATAAATCTTGAGACCCGGTTCAGTGAAATGAACTCAATGTTTCATTGCAGCTTGTCCAACGACTTACCAACAACGCCCTGGACTCTCTTTGGCTATCAGATATCTTGAGGCTGCAACTATGTATACTTTCCAAGCAATCAGGTTCAGGTTCGACAAAAATGTTTTACCCACTCCCAGACATCAAGAAGGTTGCAACCATCTTCAAAATTATTCTTGCGAGTTGTCAGGTGTCGATAAAGCATACGCACAACAGATGCATTTGGGCTTGACATTGATACGAGCTCCGTTTGAGTACGAATAAAGAGGAGAATTGCATTCAAGCTCTCGTTGGTTGAGGCTCAGATCCAACGTGGCAGGGAGACAGATGTTCTGCATGGCAATTTCCCTCATGCCAGATCTTCAGCCTCATGATTTCTTCGTCCCTTCCTTTCTGTACAAAGTCTTTTAACCTTTCGCTAAAGCTCTCAACACGTCCGATAAGCATTCTGGATCTAGAACAGCATCCATATTGCAATGAGGGGTATTGATGGACTTTCCCTATTCCAATTTATTTGTCCCTCCATGGCGTCTGCAATGATACTCTATTCCAATGGTTACATCCAAACGGGATCTATACTCAACACGCGGCCCGAGATCTGCATTGCAAAAGACGGGCCGGAAAGCAAAAAGGCGATGCCGATATCCTTCTGTCTAGTGTTCGTTTCCCAGACTCACTTCATCCCGCAGAAGCCGTCTCGAATTCATCGCCAGATCCCTTATCAGATGGTAGCGTCGCCAAAACATAGGAGCAGAGCCGCAAGATGACAATCAGGCCTTGGCCTTGTTTAATTGGACGAAAAGTGATCCTTGGATAACTAATCACATGATTTATCAGAAGTACTACCTAGGTAGCCGAAAGAAAGACTTCCATAGGTACATGAAAATGATCTGTCACATTTTTTTACGCACATGCGGCTCTTTTCAGTAACTCTTGAGTTCTGGCCTAACAGGGCACCGATAACCGGTTTTGACAATTAGCCGACACAACATATGTCCGTTGGTTGCCTCGGTGGCCTCATATGTAATGCTAGGGGCAGTGCATTCATTCCTGGTGATTTCATTGACTGATCTCCACATTCAGCCTCATTATGTTGGAGTCCATCCTGGAAATTATCTGCTTTCAACACCCCACCCTCATTTTTCATAGTTCCACAAAAATGGCTCGCAGACTGCAGAGCCGCAATATTCGGTCAGGTTGTCATCAGCCAATCTTTCTTTTAAGGCAGAAAAAGATGGGCAGCTGGACTTGTGTATGACCCGACACGTTGAAAATTGTTTCGAGCACTAGTCACACCAGGTGAATATAGCCAGTTGTAGTTACGATATTCAAAGTTCGGTAGGCTTGGATTTTTGTTCGCCAGCCTCGTTTTAAATTTCAAACTGATTAGAAGACCGTTTAGGTTTAGTAAGACCGGTGTCCCAATGCTCCATTCTTTTTGAGCCTCAATTTAATCTACCCCTCATATAACTGCTCGTTTCCGGGGACATTACAACGAGATGCATACTATACTCACTTTCGCACAATCATCCACAGTATCTTTTGTACCAATGAACCTGTCTAGTTTCTGTGAGAAGTGTGCAGGTCAGTATCATATATCCTGATCTCTTACTACTATTTTGTTTTGAGTTTTTTTTATTTTTTTATTCCACTGCCAGTATTTTCAAGATACCTTTACTAATTTAAAATATATAGTTTCGGTCCTTGGAAGGAGCACAAATGTTGAATTTGATTACTCTGCCGTACGAAGTGTTATCAAACATTGTTGGGCACATCGATTTCGATGATGTGTTCAGTCTGGGCTTGACATGTAAAAGCTTCACGTTTTTCATAACCGATGAAAGTCTGGCAAAATCAATTATTCTTGTGAGTGGGATCCGGTGATCGTGAAATTTTCCCTGGCTCCCTCCTAAGGTTATACGATGCTGACAAGCTTACCAGAATAAAATACCCTTCTCCCCCGAAGCCATGGAGGCAAAAGACCGCCGTTGTAAATATGCAAAAGCATTACGTTTGGTGGGCAAGAGACGGGAGGCGTTTGCTTCGGTCTCTCCGTATACGGTGGCAACCCTTGGGTTCTGCGGTGATTATCTGTATTGCAAGGGGGTTCTTTGTTACAGCTTGGATGACGAAGTAAGAGTCTTAGACCTGCACCGTTCGGATAACGTGGAGACTGTTGTCAGCATCTCTGGCCTTCTTATCAATGCGGTTTCGGATATTCATGCAAACAGCAAGGGACTATTCCAGATTCTGTACTATTCGGATCAGATCGTTTCATGCATCTACAAGTCCCTAGGTCCGGACCTACCAGCATGGCTCATTGTCTTCAGTTTGGAGGATGGACATATCTTGATTCCACCAGAAAGGTTGGACTCTGTTGAAAAGCTGTTTGTGCGACATAATCAAGACTTTTTGTACTATGGGACCCATTCGGAGATCGATGCTGATGGTCACAAAAAATGGATGATCCACGGATACGACTTTCAGAATAGGAAATGGTTTGATGAGAAGATTCCTCTGTCGGAAATGGCAGGTCATGATGTGGGATCATCAGTGTGCTTCGAAATACATGGTGACTCATTCTACGCTATCTCCAGTCAGACCTCATTTGAGTGCGAGGAAATCGATTGGACATCGTTTTACCATGGTTATCGATTTCCGCTCAACTCACCTTGCAGGGAGTTACTCGAAAAGACAAATGATGAAGATATGTGGCGAAGACAACACCAAGAAGGTCCCATAGATGAGAGATGGATGTCTATGCAATTGGACGTCGATGAGAGTACTGGTAAGCTGAAAATTGTCGAAGCTCGAAAAGAATGGTACCAAGGATCGAGCAAGAGTCAACGAAATTACTATACCACGGATATCATCTTTCCTAAAGACAAACAGGAACAGTATGAAGAGGAATCTGGGGACGAATTTCAAGACGAGGACGCAGATGCTATTGAAGAAGCTATACTCCGCTCACAATCTGATGTAGGCAATCAAAGCTCGCCACATCCATCATCCGTATTCTCAGCATCAACATCTACTTCCAAAGCTACATCCTCAAGTTCAACTACGGCACCCTCATATACGACACTTTTCGACAACACTGGTTTCCCCAATTCCCAACTACTACTTCTTCGACAAAAAGAAAATCAGCCTCACTACCTCGAAGCACCTCCGCGCAACCCCCACTGCACGCATCCAGGCGACAACGGCGCAGCCTGTCCAACATTTACCATCGCAAAGACATGTGTCCGCACATACTCAAAAAGTAGCAACACGTATCTAGACCTCGTGGATGACCCACTCCTCACAGATTGGAACAGCACACAACGAGTTCGTCTCCGCGCAGGCTCTAGAAAACTAAAGCCCCCTCTTCGAAACAGCGAAGGCTTCCTCTGTGAACCCTCCGGCAACCTCAATGAAACTATCAACCAACTCTACCGCGACAAAGGAATCTCCTTCTGGCCCCGAGTCGAGGAGACCATCACCGAGGCACAGCTCGATGAGCTTTACACGTTACTCAATCCACCCACTTTCCTCGGCAACGTCCAGGGAACGTGTGATGAGAGGAGTCTCGTCTATGTCACTGGGGAGAAGGGCAAGCCTCAGGCGTTGATATTTGTGGGGTTCGATGCGGGGATGAGGCTTAAGGGACTGAGGAGGTGGGGACGGGTGGATAAGAAGACGAAGGGCGTTGGAGAGGGTCCTCATATTGATGGGAGGGCTACGGGAGGAGTCTCAATGTGTGAGACGGGGCAATATTCTGACCTTGTGCCAAACAAATACGTGGACCCCTATGAGAAAGGGAGGACGGTGGGGATTGAGAGGAAGGGGGAGGGGAGGGAGGTTGTGCATGCTGGTACCGCGGTGCAGTTTTCCGGTCCTCCCTATTTCAATTGCGGGACTGCTTCGGGCTTTGGATCTCAATGTGCAGATGGAGATGCACAGGATTGTGTTCTGGGTGGACATGCAGCAGGCGATACGAAGAGTGCATTCACCAAAGCAGGGCGTATGGGAAAGTTGATCAGGAGGGTACCGGCTATGTATTTGGCACTTACTAATTTGGGTTATAACTTTGGGAGGGCTCAGAAGGATGGATTGGTGGATTAATTGGTTGAGTAGATACTGGATGGGTTGGGTATAGTATATACGTGGGCTTTCATTTAGTGTCTTCTTCTATTGTCTTTCCTGGGTGGCATTGTGTTTTGTTGTTCCATGCTCATTGCATTCCCATTTTTTGGTCCTTCATAACAAGGCTAGCATGGGTCCTTTTTAATACTGCTTAGATTCTCCCTTGCATTTAACAATCTTCTGGGTTTCAAGGCTTCAACAGTGCTTGGTTGTGTTGAGTTGGTTGTTCATAAGGATTGCGTAATCAGGAAATCCATGCCTTGGATACTACTGTATATGCAAGCAATAATGTATCATCATTTCCTTGTTTGAGATACTGCAATGGGTTGGGGGGGGCGGAGGGGCTGAAAAAGTCTCCGGATGCAACGCTTTTTGGGATTTTGTACTTGGTGGGGTATGCATGTAATAACCAATTGATAGAATATCTCCAAACTCAAAAAAGTGATAGCCTCATCTTTCATCTCTCGAGGAAGAAAAGAGGGGGGGACTACACTTCTTCCTCGCATATTTTCTTACGGCCCCCAAAATAGAAAGACATGTAGTGTATCCTTGGCCCGTCCTTATAATGCAGGTCACGTCACCAAACCCCGCATTATCCTAATTCCAACCATGGAAATAGCGCTCATACGAATATAAATACGGAGTACAGAGAGGGCAAAAATCTGCCTTACGGTCTTCGCTTGTATGAGAGTGCAGGTGGTTGGTTGTGTGGCCGGATGGAGTGTGTGTGGAACGTCTCACTGCATGTTCAGGTACGCCCGGCTTGTGTGGACATGGGTTTTGTTTTCATGCAGGTGTGTGTGGGATTGTGAATATATGGGGAGGTTTATTGGGGCCAGAGGTGGTGGGTTGGCTTGAGTTGTATGTGTTCTGATTTTACTGGTTTGTTGCGTGGTTTTTGAGGGAGAGTCTTCAGTTAGGAAGGTGGGAGTTTTTCCCTTGGATGGGATGGGAATAGTAGGGGTGTTTAGATGTGATGTGTACTCATACGAGTATCGTGTTGTCGTTTGTGTACGCGATGCCAAGCAACAGGACTAGCTAGTCTATTCCCAAAAGAGCACCCACCCCCCAAAACAGCCAAAAATAATTATATCTCTACAAAAAAATAGCAAAACCTTAATTACCAGCGTACAAGAACTGTACGGGGCTCTTAAGGAAACACAGACACCATTTCTGGTCGGTTTATTACTTCGCTCTCGACAGGCCGCGGGGTCACAATTTTATGCCTTGTCATCGGCGCTTTCCCAATTGAATTGCGAACGTGATTTGTACCATCAGGTTGAATACGAGAACTGGATCTCTTATTTGTGGTTATAAAGGGGAAACCTCGGCTTTTCTTGTGGTGCGATATAGGGATGGGATGATGAGCCGATGGACTTAATAGTGGCTTGCAGAAGGTGAAGCTTGGAACTGCTGCCTTATATGTTGTGTCGACTTCTCTGCATGTACATTTCATATACGGTATATACCGAACTTCTTAATCCAGGGTTAGGTGAGAGGAGAGAATGGGTGTGGTGCGTGGAAATGTTCTCGCGATTTATTTCGTTACTTGCAATAGATGCATCCAAGCATCTTATAGAGTAATTGAAATGAACTCCAAGTATGATACATCGCAATAGACATTTCTAGTTCAGCTTCTAAAGTACTTAGCCTTATTTCCCGCCGTTATTTCCTGGAAAGGATTTACAGCATGCATAAAACAAAGATATCTCAAGACTCGGCGACCGAAGAAGAGAATGTGAGATACTGTAAGCGGGTATCATTCTCTTCTTGTTCCTAATTAGGAAATACTCCACTACTCTCAGCCGAGCCTCACATCCACCCATGGCTGTCTTGTCCGCCTTACTCCCACTCTATACTTCCCCACTAAGCGCGGTTGCCTCGTTTCGTTTGCTGTGCTAGTTTATTCCCACTTCATCTATCTTCATACACCACGTGCTCTTCGATATCCAGTCTGTTGGGAAATGAGACTTAACTCTAAGCTAGCAAGCACATCAAAATTCCCATGCATCAAGACCATCTAAACGCATTTAAACCTGCTCAATTCCGCCCCCAATCTGAAATTCACAGCCTCATTCTTCGGAACCCAAATCCCATACTGTCACAAAACTTCTATTTCTCCATGGCTGAAGAGGCCTGCACCTATGTGACAACATCGTCATTCAACCAGGTCTCTTCCTGAGAACTCGGCATGTTACATGTAACGCTGCATCACTTTCTACCCTTTGGTATACATACCGAGACTAGTATTAGCATGCATATTTCCCTAGTCTCAAGCATCAATCCGCTTCTCCTCATCCTTTCATCTACTCCATCCTTCCACTTCCGTACGGCTAGTAACCTCCACAAGGCGCACGCCCTTCCATGTCACTTTCTAACCTGGTGATCGGAGTTCGGATATCGGATCTGAATCACAAAAGTACACGACAAAAGGACCCCTCGGGACTCGGGTTTCGTTACTGTACGGAAGATGTAAGCAAGATCGGTAGAAGGCAGCAGCTGGTCAGCATTCTATTGTCATGCGATCACTTGCTTAAATGACGTATAGATTGGAAAAGGTGACAAGTGGTCTACTAAACGTGCCAGTTTCCTTGGTATTGAGTATAAGATGACAATTGTGTAAGCCCAAAATGTTGAATCTGATGATTGTTTGAGATCATGAGATGCGTGGTGTAAGAGTTTCAGGGTCTTAAATTCAGCACCATACTTTGTGCTATCTGATCGTTGACTGGGTAGTTCATGAACGATGGAGAACTCACCGCCATGCCGTAGAATCGATATGGAAGTATGAGAATTTGAAAGGTTCTTTTATTACATATCCGTAAGGACCCCTATTATGCTAGAAATTGTGCCAATGTGTTTAGCATGTCCTTCATCAGAGTTTCTTCTTCTGAATCGCCTGTTATCGTATTAAGTTGCTCTGTAAATCCCCACCGTCAGCAATTTTGTCTCAATGAAGAAAAGGGGGGGATATCGTTAAACATACCCATTATCGTGCTCTTCAGCAGCTCTAAGCCCTCATCCCTCTCGGCCAACAACTCTCTAACCTTCTTCTCTGCACCCCCGTCCTCTGCTACTAACCAACTAAGGACAACATCCACACTCTGCAAACAAAATAATCCAGCATCCAATCTCCTCCCCAACGACTCGTCAGCCATCTCCTCCCTCTCCTCAGCATCCATGCCTTTTGATTCATCATTAATTTCGCCATCCACCACCGCAACCCTAGCGGCAAAATCGCGCCTAATCTTGATTAGTTTTACAATCTTCTCATAATCCTTCTCTACAAACTTCGCTAGAGTTCGTATCCGAGAGGCAGAATTGGCAGGTAAATGACGAAGCAGAGAGCTGAAAATCCCGAGAAGATGCTCAATAGTTTGGGCATCAAGAGATTTCTTCATGAACATGCTGAATGTCACCTTCAAACCTGCAGCATCAACGAGTTTTTCGCAGGCTTCGACTCCCGAGGTTCCATTCAGAGCGTGGTCGACGAGTCGAAGGGCTCTGGGTTTGCTCATTTTGCCTTCGCGGATCATAATGAGGCACAGTTCTGTGCCTTCGGCTTCGAGAAATTTGGATTTTCCGGAGGGTTCATCGACGCAACATGTTAATGCGTCGAATACGTTTTCTACGAATTCTTCCTCTTCGGTTCCTTTTGCTGGATCTCGTTTTCTGTATGCGGCGAGGATTTGAAGGAGGGTGTCGACTCCGTCAAGCTCGCAGAGTTTCGTTCGATTGATTGATGAGGATTGTAGAAGGATGGCGAGAACTTCTGCGGCGTATTGCTTATTTTGGGTGACTGGGCTTTCTTTCTTTTGTATTCTCCCCAGAAGCCATTTTAAAACTGTAGTATCTTGTCCAATCTTCTCGGCGAGAGATTGTTGTGATGCGAGATTTTCGAGGACGGAGAGCGCATGGTAAACACCACTTCTATCTGATTCAATACTTTCGTCAAATCTCGAGAAATTTGAAATTATGAGGTCCAATAAATCAGATTCCACCATGGCATCAGTGATTGCCTTCCATTGCTCCTGCTCTGCCTCCACATCTTCATCCGTGAGTTCACTTATGATTTCCACAGCATCGATGGCAATATCCGTATTCTCGTGCGCCAACAACCCCACCAAACTTCCTACACATCCCAATTTTGCGAACTCGGCGTATAATTCTGGATGTTCCGATAAGATACTCAAAGCTTTGATATCAGCGTCCAAATCCGCTTCACTCCCCATAAACTTCGCCGGCTCATTCTCGAATTTTGCCCTCAATTCCGCATTCTTTGTGATCTTCTTCTCGAAGTTGAGAGCCAGTTTCCGCAGCCATGCCGAGTCAATTTTCTCCGGTGCAATTTCTGCAGACTCTTGTCCATCCATATAATCCAAAACTTCATTCTCTTCTTGTGTTACGCCCCCTCCAAAGAATCGACCTTCGTCGTCGTCGGGAATATCGGGTCCGTAATCTTCGTCATCCGGCGGCATAGAGGGTCCAGCTTCCATATCGTCATCATCCTCTTCTGCGACTTCTGCAGCCTTTCCATTGCTCTTTCCGAGGCCGTTTGAGCCTACCTTTGCTGCCTTGTAAATTTCATCTGCTAGCTGTCAGCATTGTATGAATTTGGAAATTAAGAGGGGGTTCGAACTTGGATCTCGAGCTGTTTCTAGCTTTCTCTTGTTGCTGGGAAGTGCAGGCTTCTGCGAGGCATTGTTAGTTTGAATTGAGCAAAATGGAGAGTTATGTACCTTGAATAGATCATCAAGGCTGGACATTGTTTCGTAGCCTTATTGGCTCAATAAAAGCTGAGGTTTGAACCCTCTCTGAAATGAACTAGAGTTAATATTCAGTTCTAATTATTCAAGCGGGTATCGCAAAGTGGGATTCATTAGTTGGTTTGCCGGTGGTGTTGCTATTTACTTTCAGGGTCAACTTTTTGCGACGAGCTGCGGAGACGCGATAGGTGAGCCCGACCCGGCCTGGGCGATGCGATAGGGATCACGAGATCAGCCCCCAAATCAACTCTCACCCGCCTTTGTACCTCTCATCCTAGAATTATCTCAATTATTCTGAATGACCATCCGAAGCCTGAGTGAAATCGCAGTAAACCAGTCATCAAAATGGAAGACGATACCTCGATCCAACCAGGAGGCTTCCTCCATTCCCTCCCCTCCCCTGCTCCAAGCAACATCTCCACCACATCCACATCATCCCTCCCTCATCCAAGAGCTCGACCATTGAGACCGGGTTCTGAAAAAGAAGACGCCACGCGAAGGTATATCGACAATGTATTAATGAAAATCGCACGACTCTACGCAAAGAAGTTTCTACCACCGGAAGGCGATGAATTGGTCGGATACACAAGTATGAGTGACGTAGCACGAGATCTAAGCTCAGTAGTAGATGTATTATGGATATCAGGAACTCGTATGATTACCCTACTCACTCTTCATAATCTCAAACTGACAAAGAATGAGCGAGTTTACAAATCCCATATCTTCTAAATGTTGCATTAAAAGTCACCGAATACATCACGGCATTCGACCCTGCGCCCCCAGCAACATTCAAACTTCTCAAAAAACTAGATCACGCCTTTTCTAGTCTCATGAAAGGAGAAGACAGCCTGACGGGCGATCTTTTACCCGGATTTGAGGGAGGAAGAAGCGCGGGTATGACGAAAACAGATATGGTCCGTTGCAAAAGTCTAGTTGAAGCCACTAGAATCCTAATCGTGGAACATATGACCAAACCACCGGAACAGCCACATCCTGAAAATGAAGAGGATGTGGTTATGGAAAGCGAAACTGATGCCGAAGGAAACAAAAGATTTCCTGAGCCAGATGAGCAATTGGAGATGGATGTTGCAAGAGTTTATGAGATGAGTATTGTGTGTTTGAATGAGAAGCTGGATTCGGGAGGCTTCACTATTGGCGTTGCTATAGGGTCAAGATGACAAATTTCGGTTCATACATTTTACGAAGGCGGAAGGCGTTTCGTGAAAGCGTTTTCCTATAACGTGCTTGCAATATTAATTTGGCGATTGTACCCGAGTATAGAGACCATTGAATAAATATTTCTTGGCTGGATGTAGTCATCAAGTCCCGACTTGTGGTTCAATCCAATTATCCGGGAAAACGCATATTCTACGAGACGTCTTGTTCCCAAATACCTAATTCTCTTCTAAACATATCCTGAGGTGTCAGAGTACACATATTTCCATTGTCCAACTTGGTGGGCTTATTATTTATATGCCAAAGCACTCATCCGAAAACATGTCCCATTCAAAGGAGTTTGGTGGTAAAAAATCGGCTTTCCCGCAGCTCATTTACTATACATCATTGTCCACGCTAACTAAAACATAGCCTGCCACCTTGGATGGACTGTTATCGTGTAATCAGATCAAGTCAGGAGGCCAAGAACAAAAGCTTCAACATATCGTTACCAAATCATCTTCATTATCAAGCAATTTGCCAAGTCGGCACACGATCAATCTTTCCGTCACCAGAATCTATACAAGCTTTACCCTAGATCCCACCGATTACGAAATAAATACGCTCGGGACTTCCATTGAATGGCCTCCTTCCAAAACGGGTTAATGGGAATCCAGTAAACGACCCTAGAAAAGGGTGATATTCCGCGAATGGCCTCGCTAAATGTGTTTCTTCGTATTTCGTATAATGCGGCTAGACATACGGAGTATACGCCCATTACTCGTATAAGGTCTGAGTAGCTCAGGTCCCCCCACCCTCTTTGTCATTATCTGATATAAATTCACCTGGGTAGGACCACTTGGCTTAGAAGGCCATATTGTGGGTTTAAACCCTTTCTGTAACAAGTCGTCGTATACAAGGGGTGGAACACAGGCTGTCCAGACCCTTTACACGCTTCCCCTCCGTTTTTGTTGTGACCATTAACCTCTAGGAGGGCTTCAAAATTGAGAAATAGTTGAAGCTCGTTATATCTATATCGACCAGGTAGGCAAAAGCACTATGTTGCTATCACCCTCTAAACAAAAAGCCATTTTCATTTTCTGGTGGCTCTATAGACAAAAAATAACTTTTTGTTTGGGTGGGGAAGAGTAAGATTGTTATAAGGAAGTGCCGTCCTCACTTCCTATGAGGAAATCAATCTACTCGCAGAAGTTGTAACGCTTTCCTCCTAGATACCCTTCACTTGCATCTCTTTTAGACAAGACAACACAAGACACAGGCGAAAAGAAAAGAAAGAACAAAAAAAAAGTTGTTCATAGTTCACACCTTGATTAAGGAAATCAGTACCTACATTCTCTTGGTCTTGGTCATGTCGACACAACGTCCCGGAACAAATTGTGCCGACCTTGATTGCACTCTACTCAAACAGACACCACAGCCACCTTATTGTGGCGATAGCTCTGGTAGAGCTGCCCGTCCACCAACCACCTCTTCCTCTGCACCCTCATTCTCTGCCTCTCTGCAGACAGGACTGGCGTCTCTGGTTAGACTGTCAACTGACAAACAATACACAAACAAACAAACAACACACAAACCAATCAATTTCTCGAAAGCACTGTACAGTAAGCGATCCGTCCCACCACGGAACCTGTTAACCGACGTTAGTCTCCTGCGCTTTTTAAAGGTGAAGGTCGGACAAGGTGTGAACTTTTTGGGTTTTTGGTGGGAAAGATGGTTATGGTGGCATTTATTGTCAGCTTTTTAGGGGATTTGTGGGTTTTGGGAGAGCGAGGGGGATTGGGATTGGTTGGTAACCGATATTAGGGTGGGAAGCGGGATTAGATGTTGTGGTGTCTTTAAGGGAGGTAGGGAGGTGAATTAGCGAGATTCTGTTGTTAGATAGGGCGGAGTACGAAAGTAAGGAAAGGTACAAAAGAAATACGAAGATTATTATACAAAGTAGTAAAACAGATACGACAGAAGAGAGGCTAGACCATTAAGGAAGCGAACTTTCATATAAGAAGCGATTCAATCAGGCCTATCCTAGACACAAGCATCTGCGCAATTAATTGTAGCAACTTCCAGGTTTGCAGGTGGGGTAAAATTCAAAGACCTAGTTCCTTGTACTTGTACTGGATTATACGACTTACTTCAAAGTAAGAGGGGACTCCGAGGACTATACGACTTTAATGGCCTCCGGTCGATCACTCCGTGAGTGCAGACCTTCGAGTCAGACTTTTCAAGACTTCACCCACGGCCAAGGACAAAACAAGGTATGGAAGTAGTGTACAGGGCTAAAGACGATTAAAATCGCGGCAGGATCGACCGGAGGCGATTCATATAATCAAGTCGGAGTCATTTATTTAATCTCCTTCCATATCTACCCCGATGTATGGAGGAAGAATTTTCCTGCGCAATCGCAGAAGCAGAATCTAGAGTAGCCATATAGCTGTATTCTATAACGTGGTTTATCAGCGAGTCGATCATATCACCGAGTCGATCACTTTTTCTTGGCACAGAACTTTACACCTAAATAAATCAACCACAATATATTAAATTAATTATCGCTCTCTATATCTGACGAACTAGATATATCTATAACTTCTTGACAAGTTCGCGCGTTATGACCAGCTTTTCCACAAGTTCTACAGCGCCGCCTAGAAGGTTGCCCCTCCTTATAACCAACCCCCGCCTCACGCATGTCGCGTCGTACTTGCTCATCTACATCCTCCTGAGCTAACATATCCTGTACATCCTCTACTATAAGTGCCCCTCCTTGGCGGACACGAGTCTTTTTAGCCCTACGGCGTTTACTTAGGGCTTCATTTGCAGCGCGAAGGGTACGGACCTCAGCAGACAAAAGGGTCATCTCATGTGCCATTCGCTCTGTACCCTTTGCTAACGCAGCAACTGTTTGAAAAAGTGGAGTTGGCGAGCTTCCTTGATGACAGGCTATACGATTTCGTACAAGAGTTGATTGTGAAAGGGCTTCAGTTGGGTTGGAAGGGGTCTGGGACACCCAGGGGAGGGAGTTGGCACTACACGTCCGAGGGGGAGTTGGAGTCCGTAACCTTACGTCAAGCTTTGAAAGCACTGCTTGCGGGTTAAATGGTACTAGGCCAGCTCCGCGGAATCCAGACTGACAGTTTAGGACTGTCATTGTTTCCTTGTATGCTGCTGTAAAGGCTAGAAAGAACTCAACCTTTGTAATATGGTTGATATGGGCCTTGATAAACGTCTCAATCTGCCGACCATACGCTCGTTTTAACACACTATAGCACCCAACATCAAGTGGCTGGGTTAGATGGGATGAATGAGGAGGTAGTCCAAGAGTAATAATGTTGTGTTTCGTACAGTAGTCTTGGAACTCAGCCGATTCATGACTCTCGTGCCCATCCAAAACTAGTATTCGATACAGACCCTTTGCACGAGCTGTAGTGTGTTTATCAAAGTGCTTTAACCATTCCAGGCCTGTTTCATTATTTGTCCAACCATTGCTTGTCGGTTTCATAACCCAGTTAGGTGGGAGGCCGCCGTCGGTATACCAGTTGGAGAGATGGTTCTTGCCCTGAACTACCAAGAATGGAGGAATACTCCAGCCCTCCCCATTAATACAGGCAATTGCTGTAGCCCATTCCCGATTGCCTGGCTGAACTGCCTTGCCTCTACCACGTCGGTCTGCACGAGTAACAACCATTCTAGGACAAATAACACCCATCATAAAGCCTGTCTCGTCGAAGTTGTAGAAGTCGGAGTCTGTAACCCCATATTTCGCCCTCATATTCTCTACTAGCCGGAACCATGCGCCTAGCACGTCAGGATCTTCGCATAAGGCCCTCTGGAAGTCGTAAACGCGACTAAAACGCGTCTTAAGGTCTGGTTGTCGTTGTACGAATCGATGGGCCCAGAGCTTGCCGACGCGTCTTCCCCCCCGCGATTCCAGGATAAAATTAGCCATATCTTCTACACCAGCGAGCCGGGGCGCAAATCCTCTGGAATCCATATCCAGTATATACCGAATAATCACTTCCTCTTCTAACTCAGTCAACTTATGACAATTGGCTTGAGAATCTGGGCGGTAGGTTCGGCCAGCCATTCTGTCGGAAAGAGTCGTATATGGTACATTGTAGATCTTTGCCGCAGAGCGTTTGCTTAGTTTTTTGGACGACCGAATAGCCTCGATAGCTAGAGTAATTCGCGCTTCTTGAGTTTGAATTTCCATGGTAAATAGTTGAAGAAAACGTGTGTTGAAGTTTGAGGAGGTAGTGCCAAGGAAAAGTGATCGACTCGCTGATATGATCGACTCGCTGATAAACCACGTTATACGTTTGGAATTTTAGCTTTAAAGTATATGCTTTAAGTCTGAGCAGTTATGCTTACTTCAATGTTAGTACTACCTCAGTAGTACAGAGCAAGTCAGACCGAGCCGTTGTAGTATGCCTAGGTAGGTAGTGTCCCACTACATAGATCTGGGTAAAGCTTTTTTGTTTTTTGTGTTGATATATAAAGTAGATAAGCTTTGGAAAAAAAGCTTGTTTTTGGAAATTATGGCTCAAAGAGGAAATTAAAACCCTAAAGTACGTCCCAGGCGAAATAATTGTAACTTTCCAAGGGTGGCTTTAGTGGAGAGCAGGGTAAAACCCCCGGGAATAGTTACGATTAATTCGCCTGGGAGTCTAGGACGAAGCATGGTGCAACCAGAGGATAACGTCCACTTAGGTTAGTTATATTAGAAATCGTCGAAATCCGCCTATTTAGGAGATGTACCCAGTATAGCATCATGAAAACACTTCAGTAACAGTACTGTACATTTTCTTCGCCTCTGTTCATTCGTTACTCAGTCCTTCGTACACACCTTTCAAGGCATAATGTATACCACCATCTCTCATTTCACCATCTTAACCATCGTCTTCGTGGCAACCCTCACAAACGGGATACCTACAACCACCTACCCATCCCTAAGCGAAATCTCCCAGACACCACAATCAGACTCTCCCTCAGGTACCAATCATAATACAGGTGTTCTCGCTCTTACAGAAGCCAATTATCCATTCATACCTCCCAAAGCAACAGATCTTCGTTCCCCCTGCCCCGCCCTCAACGTCCTCGCAAATCATGGAGTGCTTCTTCGCGATGGTCGCAACATCGATCTTCAGATGTTCAAAGATGCCGCCAATCTCGGATTTGCCATTGTTCCAGCTGCAGTTGAAGTCATAGGCATCCCCTCAATATTAACTTCGACCACAGGAAATGCATCTACAGTCCACCTCTCGGATATGGCAGCACGACATTATCCCCTAATTGTGGACCACGATGCCTCTGCTTCGCGACAGGATGCGTATTTCGGGGAAGCGAACAATCTTAATTGGGCACAGTGGAACAGAACGTTGGGGATTTGGGGAGATGAAGAGATTATCACCGTAAGTTATCAGTTGCTTATTTCTTTCTTGTTTGCTTTTAGTTCGCTAACCCCCTTTGCTACAGATGAGAATGGCGGCCGAAGACCTCAAGGCCCGCTTCGCTTGGAGCGCAGCAAATAACCCAGAATTCAACGCCACACACGCTAGGATGCCATGTCTTCTCCAATACGGCCTCATGCTTTCCACTTTTGGAAACATCGTAACGGGAGATGGTAACAAGACGATGATCAGGTATTTCGTGGAAGAAGAGAGGTTTCCATTCCACATGGGTTGGACACCTTGTAATAGTGGTGCTTGTGGTCTTCAATTTTCTACCAACTCGCTGCTGGCTGGGAATATCTCTCTTATTTGGGATCGTTTGCGATAAAAGGAGAAGGACTGGGGGGTGAAGAGCAAGGCAGCTCATATGAGAGTTTGGCTTGCGGGGATTGTAGATGATTTTAATGAATGTTTTTTGTTGATAGGTATATGTATGGAATGCTGGGAAAGCCAGAATGATTAAATAATAATAGTATTGAATGAACTAAGGAGAGTTAAGTCTAAGGGGGCGAACGAGACCTATATAATAGTAGCTCCTTCAAAGGTTGTACAAGACAATGAGACCTGAATAAGACCAGTTCCACGTTGTTGCATATAATGGATACACCTTGTCAGGATACCCGTGACAACATTATTTTGTGCTTTCCTGTTTACTCTACCTAAATACCCGATTGATCATCTGAACTCTGGTACTGTTATCAATTACCCCGCCTCAATTATGCCGAGTTGTCACTCCACAGAATGGTCACAATGGTACCTGGCATCTACGAGCATAATCCCAGACTAGCAGAATTAGTCAAGCTCCCGGGGATTGTCAAATATAGAGTTACAGGCCCTGCCGGTACTCAATTACTCCCACTACATCCACACATCTTTTCAACGATTGGCATTTGAAATCCCATTCCATTCCGGGTTTCCCCTTGGAATATTGTATTCCATACATAAGAAAATTCGGAGATACCGTATTAATTGGTATATAAGGTAACATTTTAGTATAAGATATCCCGCGATATAAGAGAAGGTTCTAAATCAGGCTACAAATCATATCTTATAAGTATAACTAATAGAAACGCACCAAATTACCCCTTATTATGCCCCTTATTTAAGTACAAAATTAACCTAAACTCTAACTAATTCCCGTCTATATTTATATCCTGCGGATCTTCTATATCTAAATCAGGATAAAACTCGTCCTCGTCGTTACTATCAAATATATCCTTAGTGTTATCTCTACTATCTGTAGTAATATTCGCTTGATCCTCTTCAAAATCCATGCTATCCTTAACACTAGACCCACTTTTTTGGTAGATTAGATATTACTTTTGTATAAGATAAGGTTACGATCGCCGATATGACACTTTTTAATTATAATATAGTGTTTTATATACCAATTATTACGGTATTCTATTCTAGTCCCCCTGTTCCATGGAGCCGAGTCACATGACCGGTTATATTACAATGGTTCTTCCGACCGGTGAGCCAATAGAAGTCTTTAGCTTATAGCTCCTTCAAAACACCACGAGCACATATCGCAAGAAAGTGATAAGAAAATTATATTAGCCAAGGCTATTATACAGCGGCCGAAAAGAGCAATTGCTGTAGGTATAGGGTAAACTCTACAATACATAAACAATTGACATTCACTTCCTTACGAATCCTGCTCGCTTATTAGTCGGCATGCTAGTGAGTTATCCTTTGGAATTCCAGAGCCTATTCAATAGAATATTCCATTCAATTTAGGAAGGGCTCTAGAACGATTCCGGATGGAATTCCAAAATTCCAGGGAACCGAGAGTTGTCGATCGTTGCTTCTTTCCAGTCATCCGAGAACTTGGCATCCCAACAAAACAATGTCCACAACCAACCGCCTTTTCCTTTCAACTATCCCGAGTTTTGAATCATACTCATGTCAAGATCCATTCTCCGAAAACCCTTCCATTCACTTCCATTCAACCATTAAAACCTCGCCCCGTAGCTACAAGCTATTTATATCCACAGTAAGCAACAAGCGTCGAGGGCTTCGGCATTTGCTGTATTTCTACACACCGGTCCGGCATTAGAGACCTCTCAAAAGTAAAAAGGGTGGATATGGATAGATAAGGTGCTCTATTATATGCAGATCATATTTGACGAAATAATAGATTGCCCAGATTCTAGTCTCTGATTCGCCTGGTTTGTTGAAAGTTGCGCCAAAGCCGTGGTATAGACTGGGTAGTGTTACATGCCATGTGTCCAACGTCTTTCTGAGCGATCTTTCCTCCGTTCCATGCACAACAAACGTTATTCAGTGGAGTATTTACCCCGTACACCTAAGAAGCCTAACTGTCCCATGCTGCTGAAAGAATTCCCGTGGAGGTGGATCCAAAGTCTTATCTCAAGTCGAGGCCGCTGCAATGATTAAGCATTTTAGTTTTACAGTGCCATTGTTTTTGGAAAGAATTTTTCGATCTGCTGGTTGATATGGAGCAGATGTTACATGTTTCATACTCAAGTAATGTATTGGTTTTACCTTGATATGCTTACATTTTGAACATCTTTAATGATAATCTCTTTGGAATGCTGGAATCATTCAAGATTAGCGAAATGTATGATCTTCAAAGCTTCGATTGGAGAACATGGGAGGAGTTGAGGTTAGACAAATGAAGTGAGGACACGAAGTGACAATTCATTATAGTTAGGTACAATTCTTAAACCTAAAGGATCCCTATGCTATAAAGACATTATCCATAAACTCTAAATTCGTTATAAGACAGGCCCCATAAACAAAACTACAATATAAACATAAATCTTAACAACCTCCCTATCCATTGCTTTTTCCAGCTCACTTATAATACCCAATTTCCATCAACATCCGTTGTCAATAGACTATCAAACAACACAGTATCAGCGTCCATCAAATTCCAATCCTGGCCTGTATATTGACTTTGTCCTTGTTCTTGCATCACGGTGGGAAAATGGGAACTGGTAAATGATACCATGGGGAAATTCGACCCCGAAGGTTGATATATAGGATTCCAGGCATCTGGAGCAGAACGGCAATTTGATTGGTCGGCGTCGTAATTCATGCCTTGGGATAAAGGGTAAATAGCAGGACTTGTAAGGCTAGGTGGTGTATGTAGCTGTTGTTTCTGTTGTTGAGGAGTGGCTACTGCGGGTTTGGGACGAATGATGCTGACGGTACCGAAATAAGGAATTGTAAGTCGCAGATTGCTGGTATCCCGTCCTGCTGGTGTGTCCATTGCCAATAAGGATTTGATAACAGAGACGCTCTGAGTGGCTATGATCTCCTTACCACCTAGAGAAACCTGTTCTAAGGCCTTGAGGACTGTTTGGACGAGAGTTCGGTCGCTCTCCTTTTGCGCACGCATTTCTGGTGTTTCTATCATTTGGGATCCTTGTAAAATCCCCAGAAGAAGTGTAACGGTCGAAGTCAATGCACTGAAGTCCATGATTTTGCAGCAAAAGGAGCGAGCTGAAAGCTCTCGCATCCCCAAGTAGCGATAAAGCGTCTCCCTCGAGGATCTCAAACAGCTGAATTTGCTGTACTCATAACGACGTTCTGTACTTGCTCGAAGCCTAGATGAGGTAGAGTCAGTTTTATCTGTGTGACATCGAGCTTGTTCCCGAGCAAATGAGGTTGAGTTCATGAAGAAAAATGACGTGATAAGAGCAGTTTACAGGAATGGGCAGGATGTCGACTGTATACATACATGAATGGCAAATGCAAAAGATTTTCCACCTGGAAGTACCAGATTTGGTTAATCATACGATTAAAATATCTGGCCATTGTCTTTGAGCGTTCGTGCGCTCGGAATTCCGGAACCTCCCACCATGACGCTGGCATCTCCTTAGCCAAAGCATCTAACTTCTCGTCGATTTCCTGAGTGATGGCATATGCCTGTGTGTTTTGTACTTGGTTTCGATCAATGACCTTGCCAGCCAGGTTGCATAATCTTCTCATCATCAACTGCTCACTATCTATCGCCGGATTCTCGAAAGTCTCCTCGGGAGTGAAAACATCTTCTGGGGTTGCAGCAGGCAAGCCAAGTAAAAGAGCAAGAAATCTGTCGGATTGAACAATCTGGAACCAAAATTGTCTTCCAGTTGGTATATCAGTATTGCTTCTGTGGATTCCCATCAATTGAGCAAGACTCAAAGCTCGCCGAAACGCCAGCCAAGAGCGACGAAGGCTTCCCCTATTAGTGTGGAATACGCCCTGGAGAACTAAGCATTCCAGCCCTTCAATGGTGGTAACAAGCTCGTCATCTGAAGTCACCAGGGCTTGAACTGTATTCATCCACCTCTCCATACGGGCTTCTGTGGTTGGGAGAAGACTGAGCCGACTGGTGTCAAAATCTGGATCAAGCTGTTGTACGCAGAGTGTAAGAAACATGAGTGTCCGGGCGATTACAGATGGGCTTCCTTTAGCGACCTCGGTCATATTGAAGGCATTCGTCATTTGGCTGAAGGTATCATCTGCGGCGAATTTATCAGAAGTATGAGCAGACAACGCGAAAATGACGAGCCAAGAACTGCTATTGGCTGAAATTAAGTCTGCGTCTTTCTGAGATGGCAATAGGTCGGCTAATGTTTGCCTAATGCGTTCACTTCTTGGAGTATTTTCATACTTGGATGAGGGCGTCTTAACGACGCTCGATTGAGACTCGGGCGTACTTGTTTGTGATGGCACGGTTTCTCGACGACCGAGCTATCTAGTGTTAAAAGGTTGCCTTGAAGAAAATACATCCCAGCAAAGAAGATGTGGTCAGAATCAGGGGACTCACCACTGGGTTATCAAAAAGAGTCATGAAGGGCGTGATTTGTTGTAGACTCGTAAGGGGATTAGAAGGGGTGAGAATGTCACTCGAAGGCATTGAGTCGGGTGTCAACATCTGCTTCTGAGCCTGTTGATCGTCCTCAAAGGCCGAGATTTTCGCTAGAAGCGACTCCAATAAATGTTCTACCCGACCCAGCCTTTCTCCCACTTGATGATTACTCGACGGCTCTCTCTCTTCGGGGTACTCCTGACTTAAGCAGGTTGTCCCTCTGGCGAGACACCCGGCACAGACAGGAACATCTTCCGAGCTCAACTCACACCGTATCTTGCGACGTTTGCCTGGTTATTCTCAGAAAAGTACATCAACATCATCTGAGGATTGAAATTGCTCACACTCCCAACAACTTCGGGTTCCTTTCCTCACTCGCTTCCTCGGTGGCTCGCCAGAATCTTGATGCTGACCGGCTACGGCTGTTGACATTTCGATATCGGATATGGATGCCGACTTAGACAAGTGTACTATAAAAAAGGGGGCCCGGTCCCGTGGGGTTGATGTGGGGAAAGTAAGGGACGGAACGGCTGATCAGTACTGTATATCTCCTCCGCCGCGATGAAATATTGTTCTTCTGTATGTCTTGTTTTTCAAAGTGAGTTTGGAATTGTCAGAGAGAAAGGTTCTGCAAGAAGATTGAAAAAAATATGTCCAGAAAAAGATTAACTTTGCGTTGAGACGTCAATGATGGAGGTGCAAGGATAATGCGTGCCAGCTCAAGCCAAGTAAGGAAATCAGATATCTTGTAACCTGAGGCTGAAAGCCCCATTTGGTCAGCATCTGGCTGCTGGCATTCGTTGCTGCCTTCGCTTCGTCCGCCGAACGAGCGGAAAAGCCGGTGCGAAACACCCGCCTTTCATTGGCTTACACTGGGAACTCCGGCCAAGGACGTGGTGTCTGGCATCACCTGGAATTATGCGGGGAGCGAACTATAAATTTGCCTTCCAACAGTTAAGCATAATTTATGTCCAAATCCAGTGATCCCGGATAAGCACGAGAGGACTATGCGAGAAAGATTTATGTATAAAAAGTCAAGTCGTGCTTGCTCTATCTATTGCATTTTTGATTTTTGGTGAGCTGAAGTAGAAAGACCGCTTAGATAGCCTATCTGGAGGTCATCAAGCGAACAATTACTGACAACTGACAATTTTCGCATTCTCCTTCTCAAAGATAGAATGTCCATCTTCTCATGGATCATCCTTGTCTGATCTAACGTCAACCATTTTCTCATGGTCATAGCTCAATGCTTCTATGTTCGTTGTAGTACAGCAAATAACCCAAGAACACCGGCCAAGAAATACGAGTAATCCTCATTGTAGCCAGTTAATCCTCATCGTAGCCAGTTAATCCTCATCATAACCAGTTGGCTGTACTGCCCATATGAACGTTCTCAGACAACACAGATCATTTGGGGGTGTTACAGCCACCTGCATGTCCACGTTGAGAGAAAAATGCAGGAATCTCATGCCCCATCATATATGATAGGGTATTTTTGTATAGTTTCAAAGCAAACTTTTGTAAAAGTGACATCTTATGGAATTCCCGTGCGACAGCTTGGCAGAACAAATTTCTGTACCTCCACTATTCATGGCGTGATACAGTGTAAGAGTCATTTTGAGCAGACTGCCTTTTAAATATCCCATTTTTGACTCAAAGCTAGCTTCGTACTCGAGTACCTGAAGATCTTTGGAGCAATAATAAGGCCCGCCCCGACTGCCAATTTGTGGCAATATCACATGTTACGAATATCGACTCGCGGACACAAAGAACCAACATGCAACCAAGAAAGTTAGAGGGCCAGCTACCCATCAGATTCATGTAAGCCAGAAAGCCAGAAATCTATGGCTCTAGACAATCTGGTTCAACAGAGAGAGACAAAGGGATGAAATGTTGTTAATACCGTGGAAGTGTTTAGCTTACTTCGCTTAAGCTTAAAAGATAGAGGGGTGAAGGGAGGCAAGCGTGTAAGTGTATAATTTCACCTGCCCGTACCTGTTCATGCAAGTCTTACTTGCCACAAGGTTACCCTAGTTTTTAAAAACGTACCTTAACTTAAAATGGAAGGTACAAGATGTATTAAATCCAATCAAATCCAAGTATCCAAATTTCATGAAGTAAATTACCCTATCAACACCCTTTCAAGGCAATTCCACAAACTAACAATTTGGGATCAAATATGTACGAGAAACGAAAGGTTGTCTTCACTAAATTCCACATTCGATAAGAGATTGGGTCATTTCTCTACACACTCTACAAATTGGTAATTACGCTATAAGTCCAGTTCAAGCAACTCAATTGTCTTATGTCTATATTATTGAAGAGTAAAAGTGTCAATTATGTTAAAGCATTCTTACTGGCGTATTAGCATTGGCTAGTTAAGTTGAGTAGTAGCTTCTGCTCTACTCTGCTCAAATAGTGATTAACGCTGCTCTGATCAACTTGCGAAGTACTTGACTGACTTAAGTACCGCCAGGCTGAATCGGCTCTTATGAGGAGGTAAGAACTTTTGGGTGGAGTATGGGACATGAATTGGAGACTCCTACTCGCTAGAAGTCCTTCTATATGGAAGGGTTCGATAAGCGGTAGTTTCTAGTAGTCGAGCTTTTCTACCTAGGGATTTTTACACAGCTAATCTCCAAGTGCGCTCAAAAGATTTCTAAGGCCCTTAGTGCTATCTAATAAGAAAAGCATTTCTTTCTCCTAAGAGACGACTTCCTACGGTTGTAAATATAGCGGAATAAATCGGTCCGAGTCTCCATAGCGTGCTTAGATAACCCGGTAAGTCGGTCTAACCGCTTAGATTCAGCTAACTTCCTCTACACCTCGGATATCCCGCCTTCTTTAGTAGTAAAGCTAGTCTATAATTAAGATTCCAAACGTTTAGATAACTTCAAATAATATAATAGCTGATAATAAAATCATCCACAGAAGTACTAAACAGAAATAACCCTAGGTAAGACACTATTTATCGTATACTACTTATATAGTGTTTGTTTTAATTGCTACTCTACTTGATTAGTATTTGAGTCTAATTTTATAGCCAAGTAGGGTCTTAACATGCTGACTCTTAGAACCAATCGGGCTAAATAACATGTATTAGATTACAACATCTTATCTCGTAGAGGTGTTTTGGGCAGAATGCACGTCTCTTATATGTTCAATATTGGTAGAAACAATAGTAAATACTTGTAAAATTCTTATGTAAGCGCACAGCTGAGTAGCGAAAATTCATGTGGAAAGTAAACTTTATTTTATGCAGCATGAAAATCATTTTCAGTGCTTCTTCCTAGCCTGATTTGAGGTCAAACTTCATCTGAGAGTGATTGGACGAGGGAGATGGGAACATATTTTGTGCAGTAGATTGATTGTATGAGTGTACATAAAATACATGTATAGGGCCAATTTCCTCTGGAATGAGGGTTACAGTTTTTACAGTACGGTAAACTCCGGAAAACACTACAAATATCGAGCCCCATTCTTGCTAGAGATGACGCAGCCTTGACTAAGCGTATTCATTATTCTCTTTAGTCCTTTTGGCGATTAAGTATGAGAATACAATTCGCTATCGCAGATGATATCGTGCTTCCATATTCCTTTTGGATACTTATTCCATGTCTTTTGGCGATATAAAGTATATTATACACTTTGCAAAGCTGTAGGACAAGCTATGGCTCAGAATCGGTGTTTGAATCTACAGTACTGCGAGGCCACACCCTCTGGGAACGGTGTTAGGTAATACCTGCTCCCTGGCGGGACGGCCTAGGGTACAAACCCTTCCTAGGAGCAGGTATTTCCTGCTCCCAACGGTAGGCGTCAAACCTTAAATCCTGCTAAAGATACAGTTCTCTATTTACTTGTTTACGCGTTTACTTATTTAGCTGTTTATAGGTAGGGAAGGGGAGAGAAGTGGGGGGTTGGGCGGTAAATAGGGGTTTAATAGAAGTGGAGACTTACAGGACGGCAAAGTAGGAAAGTACTTACAGCTAGGGAGGGAGAGAGACAGGTAAAAACGACTAAGTACTTATATTGGTTTATAGAGGGAAAGGGAGGTGGAAAGGCCCTATGATATAGATAGATAGCTTACGGAAAGCTCGGGTTACGCTTAAACTCTCTTAAAAGCTAATTGTAGGCTGCTGTCGGTTCCTAAAAGTATAATATTTTCTAGAGTACCATCTGTCCCTAGGATCCCACTTTTTTGTACTCGATTTGGTCGGGAGCAGGTAATACCTGCTCCCGAGTTCCCAGAGGGACAATACGTTCTCGCTTAGCCCGGAACTCGACAACAAGCGAGCGTTAAACCATCCAATCAACACGGGCTTGTTTAGCCATTAGTTCTATAACCATTACAGAGCGCGGATCAAGAATTTAATAGAATAGTTACAGTAAAAGGTTGGGTTCACAAGTAAAACGGCGCTATAGTCTTTCTAAGGGCCCCTTATACTAATTCTTTTCTTGTAATAGTCCTCTTAACACTTCTAATAACGCTAGTGGTGCTTTTATAAGATAAGTAGGATGCGATATTTGCTAACTCTAGTAGGGAAACATTTGAAGTGATTGTTGAAGCAAATTGGAGAACTAGTCCTAAAAAGCTTCTAAAGACCAGATTAAACTCAGGGGGCTTCGGTGATGTAGCGCCGCCAGATTGTACGTCTAGTAGCATGCGACTTGCGCACTCTATATATCCCTCCTGTTCAAATAAGTTCCATTTTGTATCAGACTCAGCGTGGGAACAAGCTACCCTAACTTTCTAAATCGCGTGATATATGATACTAACCCCGTTAGGTACAAAACATACAAACATGCAGACACAACTGATCGGTTCTATATATAGAGTTGGCAAATTGATATTTGTCAAACAATAATTGTGACTTCTGAGAGTGAATACTATAGTATCACATGTGTACGATTACGTCATCCCGATTGAAATAAAAGACCAAATAAATTCATAGCAATTCGCAATTCGCAAAATTTGAATTTCGTGTATTAGGAGGGGCTTGAGAACTACGAAATGGTATTGATTTATCTTAACTCAAACCACCTTACCTAGTGCAAGCACTCCACTAAGGAGATCATGAGTATGCTATCTTGGGTCCGCTTTTGGCTTTCCCATTTGATCTCGCGCGTGCTCACTCTCGTGAATTTTGTCGCATCCCTCACACTTCCTGTCAACACCATGACAACAACGCCGCCTCAAATCCAATTGAGCCATGACGACACTGCATTGAAGCCCCCCGAATTAGGCGGCCAGCAAGTCCCGCACACAGATCTTGAAGCCCTCGAACGATCCAAAGCCGTCCTCCGTCAGCTCGCTCTCCGTATCCAACCTCCAGCACCAACAACACCCACGATGGCTTCCCCCACCATAAAAGCGCTATCTACGAATTTCGATGTCCTCCACAATATCCTCATTTTCATCTGTCCATACGACCTCTTGATCAACTGTCTCAGAGTGAGCAGGTTCTGGAATTCTACAATCTCAAATTCACCCGTCCTCCAACAAGAGCTACATTTTCAACTAATGCCAGAAGACCGTCAATTATTTCAGAATGGGAGACGGGTGTATTCAATCTGTGGTTTCTTCACCTATTTCTCTTCCAAAGATGAGCCAACAGAACAAGGATCTGACCCAGAATCACGGGCACGTTTCCACAAACCTCTCACCTATGCTGCGCTACGCCAGCACGGCGGTTGTCCATACGAGATACAATTTTCGAAGGTGAAATATCTGGAGGCATTCGCCAGACCAGAGGCTAGCTGGAGAAAGATGCTGTTGGTTCAACCTCCTCTTCCTCTCAAGCATTATTTCTGGCATTACAAAGGTGACTACATACAATCCGAAAACCGCATAGTAACGACCGGCGGCCCTGCGGAGATAGTTAGATACAACGGACATGAGAGGCTGGGAGAGGTTTATGAGTACTGGAAGAACAAAGATTGGACATGGGGAATTGTTAAGGATCCGGAATGGTGGACACCTGAGAAGGATTTGTACATGTTTGATTCAGTTTTGGATTTTACATATGATTTGTCTTCATTGAAGCACCCAGACATCAGAAATTGGGAGTATAAGGATGAATTCTGCCTTACTTCTTGGGTGCATAGAGCATGGGAGCAAGAGTCTGAGTAATTGAGAAGTAGTATGTACGCTTAAGGAAACAATACCATCGAGGTATTAGCGAGGGGAAATTGGGCAATGCAATTCAACATGCAGCAAAGCTTGTGACTAATATTTCCGCTTTGAAAGAATAATACTAAGCCCTCTTACTTGCGCTTTGCTACCACTGCTTCTGATTCTCTGTTGATAGTTATCCCATAAGGCCCTTTAACATCTTTCAAAACTGGGCTGGATGTTGAAGTTTCTTTTTAGGGCTTGAGAAAAGAATAAAACGCTCACTCCTCTCATCTTGCTCGTATATTATTGAATGCGTGATTTGAGAAAGAAAAAGAGTGCCCTTGAAGAGTTCTATTTTATGTGATACTTTTACTAATACAACCCTGCAAGAATTGCCCATCATACAAGAGTAGTTCTAGTGTGGTTACTTAGACTCGCTTACTCGAATCGAGCTGGTTTGGATGATTTCATCCCACTATCTGGGGCGCCTGAAAAACAGCGTTTCCATAGAACTATTCTTGTTAGATTTTGGCCAATATAAATTGCTCCTATTGTCGCTTTTTCCTAGTAGTTCCTCATTTAATCCTTGTGCTACTACTAACTTACAAAGATATCAAACCTTGAATCACACCCAAAGAAGAGTTGCTTTCACCATAGCTTGATGAAATCAGAACGAAGTCAAACTGTGCCAGCTCAATGATCAAATATTTCATCCAGAGATCAAAACCATTTCTGGTAACAAAAGTAGGTCAGCCAATCCAAATCTTGAGTGGCTCTCTCAAGCTACGGAGGTATATCCGCTATTCTACCGAGGTGACCAATCAAACAAGAGACACTCGCGAACCTCAAGAACCGCATCATAACTCAAGCTCCATTTCCATACCAAGCACAACACCAATGCTCCCCCGATAGCTCCTCGAAAGGAGGACCAAAAGCACCCAAGATGAGGAATATCGAAAAGCTTAGCAAGCTCTCCCCGCGCGCCTTCGAACTTGCACAACGAACCGTTCACATAAAAATGTTTCCCACAGCCAGCAGCTTCGCCGAACGACGAGAAGTCCTCCGCGTAATGGAACAATTCGGAGAGGTTGTCCTGTTCCGCTCCCACAAAGTACTCTATCCCATCTCCCTTCTTCGAAATAGCCTCTAACCAACCCCAACAGTACTCCCCACGACTCCCAGTCCACAACTCCTTCCTCCTAACCTACACCAACCCCACCTCTTCCAACAACGCCCTCAATAATTCCCCAATCCACTACCGTCTCCTCACCTACCCACCATCAGCCCCTCTCAGCGCAGCCCAACAGATAGAAGCCACCCTGGCACCACTCGACCCCGCCACTCTCCCTCCCCCTCCACCCCCCGTAGAAAAAACCTTTGAGCTCCACATCAACAACACCTCCTTCGACCACATAAAGCACATACAAAGCCCCAGAACCAACCCGCTCTACGGATCTTTCACTCCCGTCAAGCCATCGATTTCCTACATCGCCGCCTCCCTTGAGGCCGTGATCCCCCCCTCAATCTTCGCGCCCGGCCTGCGGGACTGGGAGACCGAGACGGAGAGCATAAATAATGCAGGAACTGACGGTCAGAATATCGCAGCGATCTTTGCACAACGGGAGAGGAGGAGACAGGCTAGGATGCAGCCCAGAGTTTTGCGAGGATTGATGAATTTACGGAGGGAGTGGGAGGATAAGCAGGTTGCCTCCGCAACGAAGAATAAGGCTCCTTGAAGAAGTCCACTGAAAGCGAAATAAGAACGACGCTTTTCCGACGCCTGAAAAGGTAGTGTCGGATCGAATGCTCCGAGGATTGAGCCCCGTAATCTGATCGTATAAGCGCAGAAACACGTCCGGGACAATTCCAAAACTTCAGAGAGCTGGTTTTGGATCTGGCAAATATCTACTTTTGCCAACTCAGCCAGCTAAAGCATGGACGAAATGAGAATTGTATCGGAATCTGTTTATGAATAGCATCTGGGCGCCGAGAAGCCCATGAAATGAGAGAATGCAAGGATTCAGGGATTTTCTACCGCACGTCATAGGACCTTTAGATTCTCGGATCCGATGTATGCCGTTGCCAAAAGGTGGACTCCACATGTATCACGACATTGTAATACTTTTTGTACAGCAACCGCTTCGTATCAATAGTAATAGGGAGATCTGTACCATAGGATACACAGGCAGAGCCGTCTCAAAATTGATCTCAAGTCACCAAGCCTCGAGTCCATACCAAGTAAGAAGTAAAATCTTTACAAAACGACACCCCGAAAGCTATTTCAATCACATCATGGGGGACAATTATGAAGTTTGATACCAATAGTCAATTTCTAGGATTCGTTCAAAGTCCTACCTCCACAATTCTCATCAGCATCAAAAACCATCAGACAGTCCTAAAAGTGCTCGTCCAATACCAATTTCCCCACCCACCACCAACATTTACCGTTTCTTGCAATCCTCTCCTCGCACCAAACGCCTTCCAAATTCCATCCACACAGTACAACAATTTGCCAATGACAACGAGGACCAAGTCCTTTAATGATTCCTTCAAGCCTCTCTCCCGAGTTCCAGGTTCAACATTGTCCGCCAGGAAGGCTACCCTCTTTCTTGGTTTCTTCCACTTGCTCTCGCCCCTGTTCTCCTCCTCGGACCCTCGTTTCCCGCCAGACTAGACAGTTCTCTCCTCGAGTTCCGCCTATTGCCCAGATCCTCGCCTGTAAATCTCAATCTATCTTCGTCGTTGGCATTTCCTTGAGGATGGTACTTTTGAACACGATCCCCTTGCCCATTTCCTTGATCTTGGTATAGCAAAGCTGGATCCATTTTCTTCTTTCCAAAGAACTCCTCTACCTCCTCAACCATAACCATATTCGGATGCTTAGCCTCCATACTATTAGCGTCCACCAGCCGATTCTTCATCCGAATCTCACTCCACCTTGTCAAGCTACCCATCTCAAGTATACACATTCGTCTCGTATGATGCGTCGGATTTCCAATGATAATCGGTCGCCATGGTTCCTCAGCTTCCACTCCCTGAGCACGCATAAACGCCGATGTGCGGCGGGCATTCTTCCATTGTGAAAGCTCGCCCTTTTTAGAATCTGGAATGATTTGTACATCCTTGAAGCGAACGAGAACTCCGAGGAGAAGGATGGAAAGAATGAGGAGGATACCAGCCATAACTCCTGTGGCGGATTGTTGTCCTAGGTGTCGTTCGGCAGAGCCGCCTACACCCACTGCAATAGCAGCAAGACAGTATCCGAGCGCTTGGGTGATGGCGAACGCAGATTGCACTCGTGGGAAGGAAGAGTAATTGGTTCTTTTACCTTTCACTTTGTCACCAGCAGAACCACGAGCTCGGCCAGCCATGCCAGGTTGAAGATCCGAGGTGTCGAAGGTTTCCATCAAAATGCCATGACATTCTGCTAATGCAAGGTTTGAGAGAAAACCTATGAGGGCCGCGAACAGAATAGGTACTAGAAAATGGACTGGCGGTCCGGTAGAGGACAGAGTGTATCCTAGGCCAGCAAATGGAAGCACCAAAACGAAAATTGCACGTCGAAGCATATGAGAAGACCAGCTCATCTTCTTTTTTCTTGTGTCATCATCATCTGGCCCTTTGCTATGAGAGCGACTGAAAAGTGATGCGTGCTGAAATGGGATGGCTACCATAGCACCCAGTGGTACAGACATAACGCTTAATCCAACAAAAGGTGAAGTGAATTTGTAGTACTTGGATGTTAGTGAACCAAGAAGCTGCAAACAATTAGTTCTCGGCAATTTCTCCAAAAGCAGAACACATACCACAATAATCAACACAATCTGAGCGTACATCCAGGCGACATATACTGCCATCACCATGAAGCCAGGCTGTGTGAGCATACGAAGCGATAGCATGTAGCCGTAGTGCATTTCTTCGCCCCACCATTTAGGACCAGTCTTTACCATATGCATCTTGACTTCCCCACGAGCAAGTCGACGAGAAACCGTTTCGCCACTCTTGACCTCGGCGACGGATCGTCTGAATGCCGAACGTCTGACTTCGGGTGTGATGATGTTCAGAAACAAGACTCCAGCAATGATGAAAATGCTGGTGTAAAATCCCCACGCAGGAGGGAGGTGGTTGATGATCATTGCTCCAATCATGAAGCCAACTCCAATGGATCCCATAGCGCTCCATGTCCATAAGCCCAACCAAATGCCCATACCTCCACCGTGGCGTCGGACATCATTCTCGTCAACGACTTCTTGATGTGGATTTTCGCACTGCAAGGAGGCACCAAAGAGATCGGTAAGAGTTGCTTTGAAGTTCATGTTTGCAAATCCAAGGCAGAAACCCATCAAAGCTCGGGGGAAAATAAGACCAATTCTCCAGTATCTGACGTATGGAGATCTGATGGACCCAACTGCAACAGCTTGCGGGAAGAGTAACGGCATAGCAAGGGCCATGGAGCCAAGTATGTATGGTTTCCTTCCATGAAGAAGAGGCAATGGCCAGAAGAAGAAAGTTGGAATAGACAATCCGAGGTAGAAGAAGACGTTCCCAAGCAGACTATAATGGTGGAAGTCAACAATGTAGTACTGAATCGCAGGTACTTCTCCAGCGTAAATACCCACCAAGATACCCACAAGAGCTGTGCTGATACATGCAACAGTTGCAACAAATCTCTTTCGTACTGGCTTCCAATCTCTAGCAATGGCAGGTTTCTTGTGTGAGCGAGCGAAGCTAAAACCTTTGTGTTGATCCTCTCTCAGGCTGAGATGGTTCTTTCTTGAGAGGTCATATTCTTCGTTGTTGTTGTGTTTGCGGCGTCTTGGCTTTTGTGTTTCTGGTAAATCCTGGGGTGGGTCGTCTCTGAGTTCATACCCTCCGCTATTTGGATCTTTTGAAGGATCGTCTCCACCCACATAGCCTTTTCCGTTATAGCCTCCATTGCCTCCTCCGCCACCGTCATTTCCACCTCCATTTCCATTCGGATTTCTAGAGTCGTAGCCTCGATTTTCTTTGGAACCTTTATCAGGGTAATCTTCATTGTCATTTGCAGTTCTGGGATCATATCTTCGATTGTTATCCTGCTCTTGCGAACGGTCGCCCCGAGTATCTATATAGCGTGGATTCCTGCGCGGTTGGTTTCCAGGTTGACCTGCGTGAACAAATCCAATACCAAAATCCAGTGCCCCACTAGAATCGGAAGCACCACCAGTGCTGGAACTGCATGGGATAGATGGACCATTAGTAGACAAAGGCTTTGCGATGGCTTTCGTTTTCTCAATTGTACACTTCTCATTATAATCATCATCAATGTCTTGCCAGTCATAGGTATTACCTCGATTCAATTTGAAGTTCTCCTCAGCATCTTGTGACGCCTCTTCAGCTTGTTTTCTCAACGCCTTGGAGCTCTCTCGATTATGGATCGGCGGACGCTGGTAACTTTCGATGTATTCACGTACCTCTCGCTTTCCTGGTACACCTTTGGCCAAAAGCTTTGCCTTGACCGCATCATGTTCCTCTTCTGAATGTCCTCCGCTGGCACACCTTTGGGTAACACTATCTCCACGAGGAACAGGTATTTTACCACGGTCATCGGTGATTATAATTGGCACAGGCTGCTGTATTCTTTGCTTCACGGGACTGAGGCGTCGAGGAGATTTCTCAGAAACTCGGCGTCCAGTACCAGAACTCGTTGGGGCTTTGAAAGGATCTGGGTTATAAAACTTCGGAGGAGGCCCATCTCTAATGAGTTCTCCGAGGGCTTCTGGGGGGCTTGAGTCATCAGGAGGTTCTGTGTACTTTCTCGGAGGCTTAGCAAAGTCAACTTCTGCTGGAAGCGACCGTGGATCAGCGGCCTTGATATAGTCCAAGTCCCTATCCGCACTCTGAATAAGAGGAGCTTCTGCCGTGTCCGAGTCTCCAGATAAAGCCTGGGATCTCCCTCGGTATGGAGTAGAAATACGATCCTTTGGTTGCTTGCGTTGAGGGTTCTTGGGAGGTATTGCAGTATTTCCATTGTTGGCGTTGCGGTATGCGTAAGGGTCATTCTGATCTAGTTTGTCGTCGTCGCTGAACTCAGTTGAGTCTCCGTAGCCTCTCAAGCTTTCGTGTATACTGGCAATGCTAGAAGGTTCATCTGAATATGTACCGGTACGCCTGGATCTCATGATTTGTCTTCGCTGGTAATATGCAGCACTCTCCGACAACCTGTTGCGGCTGTCTTTCAGGATTCGATTTGCATCTCCCAAGATAGCCGGCATGTAATTGGGATCCTTATTATCTGCTGCCTGCTGAGCAACCAGAAGTGCTTCTCCAAGAAGTAGCTCAAGGTCATCTATCGTTCTGGCGAACTGGTCGTGCACAAGAGTCCTTCCCACCTTCATTCCGGATACTTGATCAGCCGAGTCCTCTTCAGTTCTTCTGGCCTCCATGTCTGCGCCCATATACAATTCCGTACCTTGCTGTGAAGGCGCTGTTTGAGATCTGTCCCGTGTTCTTGAATTATCATTACCTCTTTTCACTCGAGGTGGAAGCGCAGTCAATTGAGGCTCATAAGGGCCTGGCCCATTACTAGTAATCAGGTCCCGTAGCCAATAAATCGTGTTTCGCCGAGCAAGTTTTTTTTCAGGTGAGATATTCGTCACAGAACTTCTATCGTCAAAGACAAACTTCGAAGGAGCATTAGGCCTCAGAGAATCAGCTGAAGATGTCGCTCGGAGAGTATTCAGCTGCCTTCTTGGTACCAGCTGTTCGTTCGGCGGTTTCTGAAGGTCCAGGTCTTTTTCTTTCGTGGGTAATTTATGAGCCGAATTCAGTGCACCCTCCTTTGAAGCAAGGACTTTATTCTTGGACGAAAACCTTTCTGGGATTGAGTTGTTTACAGCTGCTTGTGTCTTTCCCTGGGTTTTGACGGATCCCTGCTTGTGGTTCTCTGGCGATACGATCTGGTCAAGATTCAAAGGTATAGTTTCCATCCCAATGTCTGGCTGGAAACTCTTCTCAGGCTTCTGCGGAGAGTCGATATCGTTCCATAATGAGGGTCGTTTCAAAAATTCATCGGCATTCCTCGCGGCGTTCCCCAGAGAGTCTGCCACTAACAGCCGATATACTTCGGACGCCTCCTTCTTTTGAGCGCCTTTGGGTACCACAACCTCTTGGACGGCATTCCGTACTGCACTTTGGACGGCACTCTCAACTTTATCCTTCACAGTAGGAACAAACCCCCAATATGCAGCATCTACTGGATTGATTCTAGGTGATTTTACTGGGCAATCTAAGGATTGTTCGATCTTCTTGTTGACATCGTCGTCAGGGATATATTGCTGGACATCTTGGACGCGCTCCCGAACATTATCAACCAAATCTATGGTTTTTTGTAAGTTTGCCAAATGACCTGCGACTGGGCTACTCTGGGTATCTCGAATGGTGTTATTGATCTCAGGACCTAAGTCCCGATAAGGAGCAGGTCCTTTCTCAGCTGGGCTTACCATTTTTTCGAAAACCTCGACCTGGTCTACAGGAACAACTTCTATTTCTATTCCGAAACTCTTGATGGTTGATAAAACCGGCGGTACTGGCAAGCCGGTCTCGAGCGGGTCTCCATCCGAACCCGATGATCGTAGCAAGGCATGTCTCTTTCCCGATTTTCCAGAGCGCATAGAACCGTCAGATTGTTTTGTGCGTATCACAGGTGGTGGAGATCGAAATTCCGACTTGGGTTCTTTTCGGGATACTTCTGAAAGACCCAGTGGCTTCAACTCGACTGGTTTGATGAGCGGTACTGTCTCGTCTGGGCCAATTTGTGTTTCTATGCGAGCCAAACCAGGAGATGGAGATGATCGTTTGGTTCTGGGACCAGGAAGACTGAAGTTTGTAAATATAGCTGACGAAAAGGGCATGGCTATGCTTTTCCTCGAGGCCATCCTCAACGACTGTACAGCATGCGGATATGCATCCTTAGATGTAACGCTACCAGCTGACTCGCTCTTCACCGACGACTGGTTGCCATCTGTAGTCGTCGTTTTGTTGATTCTGTCCATCTTTGCATTACCCAAAAGCTCTTCAAAATCAGATTGAGGTTTCTTTCCAATTGCTTCCATATCTTGTGGCCTAGTTCTGGCGTCTATTAGAGACGTGGATTGTGCACGCCGATTGGGATGTTTGCTGCATTGAAGCTGTCCTGGAGAGCATCCAGCCAGAAAGCATGCGAGGTCAGAAGGCTCTGCCTCAATTGTCTTTGGCCATTGTGCATCACGTATGATGTATTTAGAGGGCTGCTCCTCAGGGTTTTCACATGGAGCACAACAACTCAACTCATCTTTGTGAAGAGCAGTATCGTTCTTCGGGATCTTTCCGCGTCCAATCTCAACGCATGATGCAAGTTGCGTATCTTTGTTTTTCGGAATATCCTGAAGAACCAACTTCAGTCGAGCTTTCTTTTTGCCTGGTGTTGACGAGGGTCCATCGGTGAGGTTTGATACGTCTGGGGTATCGGGGGACGTTCTCAGATCATGTGCGGAGCTTGATGAGCGAAGATTCGGAGGTGGAAACATGAAAAGTTCAGGAGGTGGGGACGTTGTCTTTTGTGCATTGTCAATGACCATACTGGGGCTTCGACTGAGCCCTGAAGCCGATTCTGGAAGACTCAATCTTTTCCCTCGTCGAGCTGAGGGTTTGATTGCAGTGTTGAAGTTTCTCTTTGGTGACGAAGTACCGTCCTCAGAGAAATTGGCCACAGGCTTTTCGTCAGATGGATATGGAGTTCGTGGTGGGTTATTGACGTTGCGTGCGAGTAAAAGAGAGCGGATGCGTTGAAGAATATCCTCATCGACGCGGCGATGGCTCGGAGCGCTCATGCTGGAATCATTGACTGCTGAACCGGGTCGACGAGAACGAGGGGAGTCGACTGTCCCCTCCAATGGTTCGATCATCAAACATAAATCTTGGTGTAGTTAATAAGGAGTGATATTGATACTGTGGCCGATTTCTGTCGGGCGCAGAACTAAAGGATAAAACCTGGGGTGTAATGAATGCGAGAAACGAGTGTGGTTATGGAGTTGAAGGATGTTGATGATTTGCAAGACTCGGAATCCAGAAAGTGAAGAATAACTATACTGTAAGACTATCAAAAGGCAGGAGGTTTCTGATAAGTGCAGTTGCCGCCTTCACTCACGCTGGCGTGAAGGGGAAGGGGCGAGTTGAACAGACCACATCCACCCCGTCGGGCTCTCTCGAAGATTTGGAACCCAGAGGCCCTTGCCTCTCTCGATTCTACTAGATTTTCTGAAGCGTAAATACTGGATTAATCTTCACTGGCAGCTAGGAAGTTTAATCTACGTACCCTTCGATCATAACCTGACGCCCATGAAATATTCCAATACTTCCAGTGGACGACACGGAGTCGTTGTGCCTCAATAGTTAGTTATTTTCATTCAGATACTGTAATTCAAAGATTGCATTTGTTTCATTTCATGTCACAAAAGAGCGAAGAGAATAGGTGTCTTTGTATTTATATGGCAAAGTTTGTATAAGAGACAGGGTCCCATTTCGTGATGCAGGTACACCTAACATTTTTAAGTCTCTGAAGATCAACTTTGATCGCCCAGATACCCTCGCAAAAACCAGAAATCCAATACAGGTCTTAGAAGTCCAATTCGCATGTTACTCGCATACGCGGGCACAACTCGAGTACTACTCAGAGTCATTCAGAGTCGAGTTGAGTTGAGTAGGTGCTACTACTCAACTCATCTCAACTCATTTCATACGCTGCTCAGGTTAGTGGTAGTTATCTTTCGTCCCTTCTTTATTTCTTGAAACGACCAAGGGGGTTGAAATCGAAGGAAATGATTGCAGAAGGAGAACGGTTCTAGAAGTCCCTCTGCCGCGCTCTTCCATTGCGCAGCATGCGTCTCATTCTCAGAAATGGACAATATCGTCAGACGGTCTTGGATTGAGACCGAACGATGGCTGATCTCATGCAGTGCAGTGTGGTAGGTTTCAAGTCCATACAATCTAGTTTTCTTGCACCTTAAAATTCGCAGTTAAAGATTACTAATGACATTAGACATGTCATTGGGAAGGGTGATATCATATGGAGTAGATATCACTATTACAGATTCTTTTACTACTTACTCACAACTGTTAAAATAATTCCATACTCTACCACAGTATATTTGTTGGCATCTATACTCCGCACCACGAGTCTTAGACTCTCTTTTATAGCTTAATCCAACGATTCTGTCATTTTCATGATCCCAAACACATCATTCACAGTCTGAAACTCATACCGCTTATCTGTGGCTCTTACTGTACTTCTTTCCCCTTTCTTTCTTTCTTTCTTTCTTTCTCTTCCTTTTCCTGTTGGAAATATACAAAGTATCTCACAGAGTATTCCAATTCGACTTCAACTCTGCAGATAATGCTATTCTGGTGTCTAATTCAAAGTGTGAAGAATTCAAAGTCGCCGTTCTCGGAATAGTTATGGCACCTACATCACAAGTATATAATGAGCACTTCAAATTACCAGGCAGAGCAAAAAGAACTAGGGTGTATTATCTCATGTAAAATCTATTTGTTACTGATTAGCCCGCGAGTTTTCAACATGGTAATCTTACGTAGTAACGTAGTTACTTTTACATCGCCAAAACAATTCGGTAGTCTTTAGTAATATAAACTATAATTCGGTAACCCTAAGATTACTATAACGTAAGTACTAAAGAGCTCTAAGCTAGGGAATATAGTATAAGAACTACTTATTGATTTATTTATATCCTTCTTTGTATTTAATCCCTATATTTATAATTTTCCAAACCATTCAAAACATGCGAGTCTTCGAAATAATTTTACGCTACAATAATAAAAAGAACAAAGACACTTTTCTTGTATGGTACCAGGAGACATTGTGATCTCTTATGGAAAATCTTATATACTACCCTCATTGTCAAAGTAGGGTATGAAAGTAGCTAGAAACTTACCTAATCGCTTCTAGATTCGGGAGTCTCAGTGACTCGTTCGGTTGCCTTGTGATCTTACGTATATGGATGAATCTAAAACTGACATGATTCTTTGGCACGCTATAAATGACGCCCCATTAGCGGTGATTTCGTCGCTTGCTGTAAGATTACATGTAACATGTGGGATATAGGTATACTAAAGAAATGGGCTTGCGATCTAAAGCTACCTTTCTTGACTTTTTTGAGACATCCTGGCGTACGCAACACAGACGTCATATATAGGTATGTAGAAGAAATTGTAGTGACTCGCAAGTATCAGGTGGATGAGACATATCTACCATAATACAGCAGGTTTCACTCTGACCCCCATTCTCGGTTCAGGAGGTCGTCTAGTAGCAGTTGATCGTCTGTGGCTACTATGAAGTCAAGAATCTATTAATTACTAGCCTGGTTTCTTCATACACGTGGTTCTATCACTCATGAAGTCTGGTAGATAATATTGTTACTTGAAGACCTGAGTTTGTATTGACTGTACTACTAGTATGGTAGACAAACAATACTGACTTGATGTATGATGACCACTTTCCTCATTTTGAGCAGCGCCAGTATCTGATTTGTCTCCTCCTAAAACTGTGTCTGTTCTCTATACTTCAAGGACAAAGTATCCTGGTAGTAAAGAGTCACATAAAGAATCGCTTTCACGGAGCTCAAAAGTTCCGGCAACACAACAACAAATGCAAATATAACATATTCGTCGGTTGCCCGTACTCAAGCCACAGCCAGGATCAAAGGATCAGATTTTCAAGAGCCTTAAATCTACGGCGTATTGTGACACAAATCTACGCAAGCTGAAAGCCTGAATCCAGCAGTGTTGACTCAACCCTCGCTGACATGAATCGGAGGACAGAGGAATACACAGTTCCACAACGGATGCATACTTTCAGCCCGCTTCACTCCCTCCGAATCAAATTAGGAAAAGAAAAAAACAAGTTCCCCACATCCTCATCCATTTCCAAAAAGGGAAACCAGGGGTCCAACAAGCCTTGCGAAAAAAGACGAAGCTTTCCCCGGCACTTCTCCAAGATTCTATCAGAAAAGCTCAATGCCGGAGGTATGCAAAGAAAAGTGACAGAAGCATCCGCGGATGAGGCTCCGTACCGTAAACCAAACTTCGAACCAAACTTCAAAGAAAATCGAAAAAGCCACCACAACCACAACCATTGAACCCCTATTCTATGACTCCCTACCGCCCGTCTAAATACAGCATCTCACTCCACATTTCGGGCCCCAAATCACCACATCAACGAATTGCCGACCCAACAACCACCAAGAATTAAGATTTTCCATCGCCGACGCCTTCCACACCCATCCAACAGCCCGCACATTTAAGGATTTCTACGAGACATACTCATCTCATCCCAGCTCTCTTCGATCGATATCATATATGCAAACCATCCATCCATGCCCTCCCTCTCCCCCATAAAAACATACAGTATCCATAAAAAAAAGGACACAGCAGATCCCCTCCGATAACCGAGCGAACCTCGAAAAAGTCTAAACTCCACGTCATTTATTTACAGTAGATGGAATGGGACCCGACGTGTCCGACTCTGCCAATGTTCATGCTCATCATTCGCAAGGTTACTCACTCATCAAAAAAAAAGGATGGAAACATGGAGCTTACGGTAGATCATCTCCGTAAGACATCCCAAGATCTTGGAAATGGGACAAGACCTGTCCTGTTTGCGAGTCCCGACGGGAGGCTGAGAAAATATCCCGAGAGCTTGTCCCTTGTTTTGACTTTCGGCACGTGGGAGGAGGGAGGGTCCTTGTATGAAGTAAAGCGGCAACTGTTTGTACTGTTCATACCTGTACCTCCGTAGTAGAGAGGTAGAAAACTTCACTCAAGTCAACATTAATGAATCTTGGAATATAGCATATGAAAACTCAATACATATTACCAATTGCCACACTCCCAATGCCCCAAACACACATTCAAGTCAACCAAAAACGAAGCTCCCAATCCGCACGGATCCCCGTACATACCTACCTCATACAAGTACAATAGTACACCCAAACCACCAGCAACCCAATCCAATACCCAACATCGTAGATAAACTTACTTGAACACTAGCAGCTATTTCTACTTATAAAGAACAAAACAGTCATTTTCAGGGAGAGAGAGAGAGAGAGAGCGATTTCTACACTATTATAGGTAAGATCTTACTTATTAGGATTAGTAGGAAGTAAATTTCAATCTTTCAGTTTTGGAACGGTAGAAGTCTCCGATCGGCGTTCCGAGTACTGCGCTACGTAGGTACGAACGAGTGGTTCATCCCACCTCTCTGTACCAAACCATCCCACTCCCCTCGCAGGAGCCTACAGTAGCTCCCCCAACCCAACGTCACCCACCCACTCAGTGCAAAAACACCACAAGCACCTCACACAGAACATGTTCATGTTCATGTTCAAGAAACCCATCCCACTCCCACTCCCAACACTACAACACCTCTTCACCCTACGAACCAAACAATCTCTCTTTCTTTTTCCCCATCGTCGAACAATAACAAACATGGCAAGCACAACGCCAATCCTCAAGAAACCTGTGAAAATGGCGTTGATCCAGTTAGCCAGTGGTTAGCTACCCCTCCACTTCCACTTTACCCCACGTCTCGTCTCTCTCTTCACCTCTACCTCTCTCCCATCTACCTCTACTATCCAATTCCTCCAATTCACTTCACATTCTTCAAAGAAGCTAAAGCTACCAACGGTAGACACAATAAGAAAGCGCAACTAACACCCTAATCCCCACCTAGGCTCAGATAAATCCCAAAACCTGCTTCACGCCCGCGAAAAGGTCCTCGGAGCCGCGGCCGCAGGCGCAAAGATCATCGTGTTACCGGAATGCTTTAATAGTCCCTACGGATGCGATTTCTTGTATGTTTCTTCCCTCCTTCCCCCCCTTCCCTCATTATCACCACAATCCAATCCCAATCCCAAGTCCCCTCCCCTCCTCCCACAAAAACAACAACAAAATCCAATTCCAATTCAAAAACTAACCACCCCCCACCACAGCCCCCAATACGCCGAAA